CATCTGTGACTGGACTGGGGAAACCAAATCGGCAGATTTTGATTGGTCTTTGTACTTCATTGTTGACGAAAAAGTGATTGTATTCGCCAAGCTACAGATTTTCAGCTGGCATGGGCTGTCCTCTTCTCACCTGACCTGACGCAGGTAATTAAGGTGGTGAGTCTGGATAAATATCGCAAGCAATTGTCACACATATGGTGTCAGAAATCATCACCAGCCCCAATGAAGTTAGTAATTTGGGGTGTGGTTTAAAGTCGACACAACCCCATTTGCAACGCATTTCAGGACTTCTCATTTGAATGAGTAAAACTGGTGCATTTAAAGTCACAACCAAAATGAACTAAATGTCATTGTTTTGTCCTTTGTCCAAGTTATCCATTCTCCACTGAAAAGGTCAAAAAAAGTGAAGCAGAAAGGAGGATAAAGACGTGATGAAGAGCTTCACTGCTCCTTCGAGCATCCCGTCAGAGTCTGATTTCAAAAAAACGGTTAAGATGTCCGCACACTGTAAAAAATTATTGATGGTTTAACTTAAAAAAGTAAGTAAGCTGGTTGCCTTAAAATTTTAAGTTCATTGAACTGGAAAAAGTGAGTTAATACAATGAAGGAGATTAATTAAACTATCAGAAACTCAAAATTATATGTTATCTGAACTAAATAAATTATTTAAGTTGATTTGACAAAAGAAAAAATGTTGTGATTACTACACTGTAAAAAAATATTGTTGGTTTAACTTAAAAAAGTAAGTAACCCGGGTTGCCTTAAAATTTTAAGTTGATTGTACTGGAAAAAGTGAGTTAATACAATGAAGTAGATTAATTTAACCATCAGAAACTCAAAATAATAAGTTATCTGAACTAAATAAATTATTATAAAGTTGATTTGACAAAAGAAAATATGTTGTGATAACAAATCTTGAAAATATTTTTTTACAGTCCAGGTATGAAGGACTGGACACATCACTGGTCTGCCAAACCCTCAGCTTTCAACACACTCCTATATCGGACCACAAAAAGTCTAGTATTTCCTTCCATATGTTTCCAGACTCACTGTCGATTAGAAGTATTGACATACTACTAGAGTTTAAGATAAACAGACAAAGTGTTGTATTGAGGGATTGAACAGACACGCACACACTCATCTTTCAACCTGTCACAACGTATTCACATCTCAATGGCAAACATATCCAATTAGAGCCGCCAACACTTTACATAAACAACATAGCTAGTCTCAATGAGTACTGCCAAATAAACACACACAGGCCTGGAATAGTCAGGGCACTGGTGCCAGACCACAGAGTGAGTGGTTAACGTGTGGCATCATAATCACAGCTATTACACACATCTTGAGCTCTTCAGTTTGCAAAGAATGACGCAACAGTGTGAAACGTCAGTGATGAAGCTTATCTTCCTGCACAAATCACTCGCATGCTGATTCTCTGACTCGGTTCCCAGAAATCTCTGGGGCAAACAACCACACACAAGTTCATTGTGCAGGAAAGAACAGAGACACAATCAGTTTTATCTGACAGCAGAGGCTTCAGATTCTTCGACTGGTATTTTATCAGCATGTAAACTCATGGCACATTGTAAAAAGTAATTTATTGGTATAAATCTGTATTTTCACATTACACATTCCTCAGTTCAGAAATCATTATAATATGCTGATTTGCTGCTCAAGAAACAATAACATAAAACTGAGGGCAGTCAATAATCAATCTGGGAACAGACAACATTTAATATTATAAGTTTATAAAATACAGTTTGAACAGTTGATAAAGGTCATATAAATCTCATATATATCCCCCAATACAGTAGATTTATACTTCTGTTGTATTTATATGCTTGGAAATCGATGATAATAAAATATATATTTCAAGTACAAATACTAAGTAATTACTGTGCATATGATTTCTGGTATGTATTGTAGTGAAATCACGGTTCCCACACACCTTGGTAACTTCAAATTCAAAGACCTTTCAAGGACTTTCCAGGTCCAATACCCTCTAATTTGTTTTGTCCAACAATAAATGTTCAGGTGCCATCATAGTAGTTTCGTCCATGCGTGAACATCAAGGCGACGTCCGACACAAAGTACCCTTAATGTACCGCGTAAATGTGCCTAACTAACAATAATCAAGCAACGCTAGTATGCACAGGCCACCAAGTGTTGGTGAAATAACACATTAGTGGACTGGAATAATATAATATGGATTTTTTTCACAAAATAAATTCAAGCACTTTCAAGGACCTGTATATCTACAGTATGCATGTTTGTTTTCAAAAACTTTCCAGGGCCTTGAATATTTTTTTTTCCTGATTTACATATTTAAGGATTTCAAGGAGCCTTGGGAACCCTGCGAAACGTTTTTTAAGTTAAAAAAGGTAAAAAAAAAAAAAAAAAAAAAAATCAAGGCTGTATTATTCTCCATCAATTTGCACATTATGCAATCGGACCAGTGAGATGGTTACCATGGTTACATATTTTTATGGGGTTGTGTAGCAATAATAACACAATTCATCTGTCAATTTACTTGCAGATTTTGACCTTTACAATGTGGCAGACATGTATGACAGCAATTACTAACGGTTGCTAATGCATCATCTACTTATTCATATCTACAGTGTAACAGCATCTATTCAATCAGCATGTTCATCTCATCAGATGTATGGCAGTGGTGACTTGATTCCCTAAGAATGTTTCCCTAAGATTAATCCAGATATAAACCTAATGCTTCACCTGACATGAGCTAGGAGCAATATGATATCAAATCTGACCCATTTCTGCTAAAGTATAATCATTCCCTGATCTATCAGCATAGACATTATCAGACTCAATGGAAACATTCTGATTAGAGATTAATTTGTTTAGCCTAGGGCTGCCCAATTAATTGAAATTAAACTGAAATCATGATGTGGCATAGTGCAATTACCAACTCTCAAAGACTGCGGTTTAATTAATTAAATATATGCGCTGTGTGCTTGAAATGTTTACATGTGAACAGCTCGTTATCTGCCAGTGTTATTATTATTATTACTATTTAGCCATATTGATATATAATAACACAACATTTTGACTAAATTGTGAAGCCCTGCAAACTAGCACGGCAAATCTGGAGTTTTAAGAAAAATCTCAATTATATTTTTGACCCTAGTTTAGCCACATTACATCATATACAGTTATTATCATAATGCTATTTTGGGAACGTTAACTGCCAGAACCTCAAGTAAATGGGGTTGATTTCTGCGAGACTGCAAAAGATTTCAGTACATGCAAACCGTTACAGTTACATAATGCAACAAGCATCTCAATCTTTTGCATAGTGCTCCTCACAGATGTTCTAATCTACAATGTTTAAGATAAAAAAAAAAGTCCTCATGAATTTGGTTCACACACCCACTAAGACCTGGATCAATGTGTGAATAGTGTGGCACTATAATCATTCTTTTGCATTCTTTACAATAGCTGTAAAACCACATACCACAAAAGCATGTGAAGGATCATGGGTCACACCTGTGTTTGATAGAGATTGCCAATGCCTGTCAATCCAGTTCTAATGCTCACTGGATTGACAGCTGCTGTTTGGTATTTTAGCAGCAGGCCACATCTCACATCACATCCTACCTTTAGAGCAGGGGCTCCCATTTCAAGTCCCGCTCTACACATTTTTTATGTCTCTCTTATCGGACACGCTCAGTTGAGGGGTGGGTTCCATTCAACCATATATGTGCTGTGAAGGGAACTTTAAAGAGTATTTCACCATTAAGGCAGATTCCATTAGTTCACTAGAAAGTTTTTTTTTTTTTTATTGAAAGTGTGGTTTGTCATCTGAATGTGTAGAAAGCTTTTCAGAGAAGATAAGGCAACGCTATTTTAGCACAATTCAAATTGTAGTTCCAAAAAAAAAAAAAAAAAAATGTATTCTCAAAGATATTCAGTCAACTGAATTCATTAATATGCGCGAGAGAGAGCAAGACATTTTGAAGATGGTGTGCGCGTGACCGGGGCTTTCACTCTCAGCTCGTAACAAGCACAGCAGTCACTCATCTACATCACTCATTGGTCAAATAAGGCTTTGGTGGGACAAAAATATGCCTTAGTGAGGCTGACCGAAAACAGTGTGCAAGTTCCAGTCTTCTTGCTCTTGATGTTTAAACTAATGCGTGCGCTCGTGAAAAAACAAACATCCCTGCTCCCAAACTCACATCTACACACACGTCAAATACACAGGAATGATCATCGGCCTGTTCACATCGGCCCTATTTTGACATCGCAACGATACCGAAGTGTAAAAAAATAACCATATCTGCGGCCGATATATCATGCACCACTAGATTCAGCCCTAAACATGGCAGACTGAGGCATTTGTGATCCAGATGCAAGAAACAGCTCTATAGAGTGCTGCAGGATGACAGTTTTGTAGGCCAAAACCCCCCAAAAAAAGACATTTTAGCACTTCTGAATCCATGGTCCTGAAGTCAATGGGTCTAAATTAAGGTCTATATTCGACTAAAGCTAGAGATATATTCCCATTTTTTTATTCTATGACATAAAATACACAAATAATATCATGGCTGCTAGTGCTAACAAGTGTCTAAATGGGACTACAGAGGTTGTCTGGGACATTAACTGTGACGTTTAAACTCATAAATCCACTTTCACAGCCTCATTTTGATTAAAATCATACTTTTGCAAACTATCCTAACTCAACATTTTAGGAAATTTTAATGTTGGGGATGACTTTGAAGTCACACGATCATGGTGTAGTTTTTTATAGATAATGTTTAGCTTGATTATATTTAGCCTTAAAAATGTAAGAGCCAAACTTTAGTTGAGCTTATTTTCTGCAATAATCCAAAAGCCAACGGAAAACTCCAATTGGGTTTTTGTCAATGGAACCAGGATGATGCATTGCAAACTTATATAATGGCCAACAAAATATGTCATATGCCACTGTAGCACTTTCAAGTGATGACGTCCATATGCCGAGTGGATCTTACCTGAACAGTTTTCTTGATTCTGTGAGAGGGTCCGGGATACTCTGGTGAATACAAGTCTGTCAGGAACAGGGAGTTGATGAGTGTAGACTTTCCCAAACCTGATTCTCCTGCAGGACAGAGAATAAGACATTACGTCAGGACGTGACTCACTCATCACTTCTGTTGTTTGTGAACAAGGACTGTGTGGAATTTGTGTCTGCTGCATATTTATGCACAATCTGTACTGCCATCATTCACAATGTTCTACACATTCTCCTCTTCCATGTCTGCTTGATTATATATAAATAATATTTATTAATTTGTAATTCATTTAAATAACAAAACAATTTGATTAATATTACACATCCCTACTTTTGATTAGTTAATTGTGTGACATTCCACGTTTTACAATGAATTATATTTTAAGAACTGGATTCCACAATTCGGTCAGCATTTTCCGCATTGGGGGAAATCATAGGCCCGTATAAGACACATCATTGCAAATCTACCACAACTCAGCACTTGAATGTCTGAGATGTTTCAGTTTTTTAAACTTGACTCCAAAAACAGGAAATCAGTCTAGAGGAGTGGCCTACTGTAATCAGCTTTGCATGAACTTATATGGGGTTGTTCCCAGCTTGAGTCTGAGAATTGCTGACAGCATCTGAAATTTGTGAAATTCCATGAACCACAAGAGAATACAACTATTTATCTGGATAGATGGAGAGAAATTTTAAACAATCTGAAACTCAGACTCAACATGATAAAGTATAAACCAGGAGAAGAACCAGAGTGTCTGTTGAGAACCAAATAAACAAAGTAGATGTTCAAAAAACTGGACAAACTTTGTAAGTGGCGTTTCCATCACACATACTGTGCTGCATTAATTGAATGCTAAATTTTGTGCTATGGATATGAATAACTCAAATTACCTGGGTTATTTAGAAAAAAGGCACACGAAAAAAAGTCACCTTTAGAATTGTGTAAAAATACACAATGAACTCTTATGACTTGCACTGCTGTTCAAAAGTGTTTTTTTTTTTTTTTTAAGAATTATTTTGTGTTCACCAAGGCTGTAATATTATCAGATATTATTATCATTTAAAATAAAGGTATATTATATATTTGTTATATATATATATATATATATATATATATATATATGAAGAGTTCAGATGCAAAAGCCTCTAAGTGCCATTTGAAATTTTCTTCTAAAATGATCATTTTTATCAAGCTTGTATATTTAAGTTAAGTAATTTCACTTAAATGGCAATTAAGATTACCTATTAATTGCCATTTAAGTGAAATTACTGAACTTAAATATACAAGCTTGATAAAAATGACCATTCTAGAAGAAAATTTCAAATGGCATTTAGAGGCTTTTGCATCTGAACTCTTCATATATATATATTTATTTAATTTTTTTTTCTGGCGCCATTACTCCAGTCTCACATTCCAATTAGCTGATTTGCAGCTAAAGAGACATTTCTTGTTATTTTTAATGTTGAAAACATTTTTTTTGGAAACCATATTTATTTTTTTTCAGGATTCTTTGATGAATAGATAGAACAGAACAAAAGAACCGCATGCATTTGTAATAGAGATCTTTTGTAACATTACAAATGTCTTTACTGGTACTGTACTTTATCAATTTAATGCATCCTTGTTGAATAAAAGTGTTTATTTCTTTCAAATAATAAAAAACTGATCCTAAACTTTTGAATGGTGGTGTATGTCAACTAGGGCTGGGAAAAAAATTGATTTGATTTAAAAATCAAGTTAGTGGGTCAAATCGATTCATATTTTTTTCTTCCTTTCTTCCATATAGCTTACATACATTTTGCATTTGCCAATCTTCATTCAGGGTTTCTGTAGCACGCTCCCTGTGGCGCAGTTCAGGTACGACAGTTAACGGGATGAAACTCTAAGATGTTTCAATGTTACTATTATTATCCTTGATATGTAGATAAAGGTCTATGGTTTCGCATAAAACAACTTTATATTGCTGACCTTTATTGCTGTAACTAAATCATGTTACTTTCTATCGGGTGTTTGTTAGATCTATTAAAGTCTTCATTAGTAGATTGTGTTGAACTGGAAAAAAAAAAAAAAAAAAAAAAAAAACTACGCTGGTATCGGTATCAGCCGATACTCTGTATTTTTGGATAGGATTGGATTAGAAAAGCAGTATTATTGCATCCCTATTAAATACAATAATTGAATCGTAAATCTAGTTTTTTTATATATATAAAAAAAATAAAAATGGCCTAGCTCTAATGTCAACACCATTTCTCACCTAGAAATGCATTAGCAACCACCTGTGGTAACCCAAAAACAAATGTATAAATGTAGTTTGCAATCTGCCAAAAAGGTAACTCATCCCACTCTGTGTTAAACAAAATATTACTGAGATTTGATTTCCACACTCTTCACAATGCACGTTTCCAACAACAATTGACTTTTTCACAGAATAATTCCTCCAAGCGTCCGTGAGCAATCCATCAACTGGATGCATGGCAACGTGGTTCCTGTAAGGCCTGGAACAAAGAGGGCAGTGTGAAGGAAACTGGGTGCATGCTGGCACAGAGCAGCGCTGGGCTTCTCTCCTGACCTTTAACAAGTGCCCAACCCTGTGTCACTTCCACAGCCAGCCAAACCAGCACGTAAAACAGGGAGAGAACCTTCAAATGAAGAAAAGCTTCTTTTCAAATCCTAAATGTTTTCCAGAAAGGGCAGAACAACAGTGACCTCACCATTGCATCTTCCACTCACAGCCTGGAGGGATGCAAAAACCAACTGCTGTCTTTGAGCAGAACGAGGGCAAACCCAACAGGATTTATTTTGCTCTCTGAAGAATGTGGTCTTTGAAAACAGGGAGTGAAATACGGTCTTCTTTAAAATGTCATAATGAATTAAGGAAACAATAAAAGCAGGCAGCGAGTGGTGGAGCAAAGCGGGTACTGGGGTGCTCATCTGCCCTTCTCTGGACTGGAAACATTGCAGCTGAGAGACCAGAAAAACAGTCACGATGGTGGAGTTACTGCTGGAAGACACATGATACTGAATAATAGGGCTGCCAGAGTGAAGAAAGGAAATCCACATACAAAACCCCAGAAGATTTTATGGAATTGTGGCTTGTAGGAGTTATGGTATCGTAACTTGCAGCTGTTTAAGGAAGGACAAGTGCAAAAATTGTGTTTTTGAATATTGCGCAAGTAAGATTTGAGTAATTTGTAAATACAATTTGAGAGCTGCACCCATGAGTTCCTTTGCCCTTTTTGGTATAGAGTGCCGAAGTGATGACGTCGCTTTGTAGGACAACTCAGAAGCTAGCGGCGCATGGGTTCCCTCGATCGAAAAGCAATGCATTTTCCCCATAGACTTTTGGAAAATCGCAAAAAATTGTTGAAAATGGGTTCAACAAAGAGTTGTGACCCTTAAACGTTTTTTTTTTTTCTATCAAGGTAATCTTTACAAGTTAATCCAAAATTTATACATTTTGAAGCCTATATAAAGTTTTTTAAAAACACAAGCAGACACAATAAAGTTTAAAAAAACACAATCAGGTTATAACTGTGTGTTCTATGTCATAGATCAAAACGTGAAAATATTTAGAGGCTTTGTTCACCACAGACCACAGCGGCTTCAGATGCAAAGGCTCATCACGCAGAAAGCTTTTTCTCAGACGGCGCGGCTTTTTCACTCCGGATCCAGCGATGCGTGAGCTTCGCTGAAAATTTCGATTATTTCAGCCCATTAAGCTAGATTTAAAGGCCTAGGCCATGCCCGCTTTGGCAGAAGGTGGCGTAGTGGGAGCGAAGCGCCCCCATTGGATCTGACGTCGGATTAAGCCTCCAAAATGAAAATATGAGGAACCACATTACAAAACAATTGTCAGAGGAACAAGTTTATGGTTGGTCAGTTTTCTCCATTTACTTGCAATTGACAGAATATACAAAAGGCTACATGCTAGTTCCATCTACGAAGAAATGACGGTGAGTAAATTTCAACGTTTTTATTTTCTAAACTTTTCCTTTTAGTTAAAGGACAAGTTCGGTATTTTACAATTAAAGCCCTGTTTTAAGATCGTCCCTGATGAAATAGAATGGTTAAGATTGTTTTTTAGACAGATGCTTCTGTCACGAGAATTTTTGGATTCTGTGTTAGCATCCCCCCCCCCCCCTTTATAATGAAAGCATAGGTGCACTCGAACAATCATTCATTAAAACGCATAAAACTTTAGTTTACAAAGACGTGAAACTCACCGAGTGGTCTGGGGTGTTCACTGATATGCTCACACAAAAGTCCATTTTCTTCCTGTTTTTGGTCGAAGTCCCCAGTAGTCGATTATCGAGTTTGCGTGCGCGATCCTTAGTTATCTAGTTACCAATGATCGCGCACGTGAACTCGACAATTTATTACTGTGGACTTCGACCGAAAACAGGAAGAAAATGTAGTCGGACAAAAACTACGATAAAACCTGTTGGAAAGCATCTTTTGCAGCGATTTTTGTGTGAGCATATCAGTGAACAACACCCCAGACCACTCGGTGAGTTTCACGTCTTTGTAAACTAAAGTTTTATGCGTTTTTATGAATGATTGTTCGAGTGCACCTATGCTACCATTATAAGGGGGGGGGGTGCTAACACAGAATCCAAAAATTCTCGTGAAAGAAGCATCTGTCTAAAAAACAATCTTAACCGTTCTATTTCATCAGGGACGATCTTAAAACAGGGCTTTAATTGTAAAATACTGAACTTGTCCTTTAAACTCTGAATCGCTCCATGCAGGAGCTGTAAGTGCACATACAGACAGAGTTTAACCTTGAGGAATGAGAGAAAGACATTGATAAATGAACAAAAAGGTGACTATGGGCAGAAGGTTTACCATGTTAACAACACTAGAGCTAATTACAGAGTCCTTCATTGAACTCTGTGTCAACAATGATGATAGATCAGGGCTTTCCTGTCAGCCGCCCAAAAATGCAAAACTGCGGTATCTGTAACCCACCCTGTCTCTGTGCGTTACGAAACTCACTGTTTGTGCTGTGTCGAATCCTAACAGGCATGCTTTGAGCAGATGAAAAACAACACATGAGCATCAGTCAAGCCTCCTGCATTGCACAACATTAACCACTTCTCAGACACAGCAAACACTACGATAAGTCCAAGCTGTTTAAATGGAGGCAATCTAAACAAGAGATGTTAAGTGCTACGGAAAGCCAAAGAAGAGCAGGGTGAGAGTCATGCCACTGGTGCAGTTTAACCCAAAGACCACTAGGCGGTTCGGTAAGGGTCCAACACGCTTCCTTTAAAGGAAATATCCCACAGCTGTGTAAACCAGGGGGCTTATTCCAGAGGAACTCCCCATCGAATGATAGGGGTGGGGGAAGCTGGGAAGCAGGAAAAGCTCAGGCTTGTGCTGCGAGAGAAAGAGTTCACCACGAACTTCCAAACAACTTTCACTGGCTCGGATCAAATCTGAAGGCAGGAAAGAAGATCCGTTTATGTTTGCTGTCAGAAAGATATATACAGTGCATATATATGGACTTTTTTCAAGTGTTACAGCTGTCTCTTATGAATGAAAGCCAGTATCACGCTGATGTCTTGATGAAAATGATTTCCCCCAAAATTTTAAACGTTAGGCTTCAAAAAATATAAAAACTCTTAATTTAAGTGAATCCTCATTAAACCTAGCCTGGATGCCAGCCCAAACTCCGCCCACAACATTTTTTGGTCGGGAAGTTCGGTCTGGACTCGATCCATTGAGGAGTAATTATGATCAGTCAAAAAATGATCGGGCCAATCAAATTGCCAGGGCTGGCTTTATACAATGATGGACAGATGATCTGCAGGGACGTAATCCTCACGTTATCAAAGAGCGCTCGTCAAAGATGACTGCAGCGGGAGAATTGAGATGTTAATTAATTTTAATAGACAAACAGAAAACTGCAATCAAGGCATTTGTCGATCGGAAAGATATTTTTGGCATCCTTCCTACATGATTCGGGAAAAGTGTAACTTATCAGCTGGCTCTGACGTTCGTTAAGAAGATAAGACGTAATGAAAAGCCTGTGGTCGTTGTGGTTTCTCCTTTGGTGGCACTCATGGAGAAGTAAATAAAAGAAGCAACACTCGTTATTTAACTTCTAAAATAAATAAAGTTAGGCGACGTTCTGTATTTGAAAACTGCGCTATGCAAAGGAGTTGACTTACTGCGTTGCTCTGATTGGTTGTAGGTCTACCGACTATCCAATTGAGTGCAGAGGTTTTTTTTTCATGGTTCGGTTACGACACGCCTCATAATCAAAGCCCGACGGAGGAGTTTCAGACTCATATTCTCTCTTGAATATGAGTATGACGAAGTCAGGCTACATTAACCTCATAATAAATGTCATATTTAGCTGTACTATACAGAAATTGAATAAGGTTATAAAACAGTTCGCACTGCATAAATTATAAATTTAATATAGATTAATCCTTATCAAAGCTACAGGCGTTCTTTAGTCAATAGCGTTAGTAATTTTCTCTGTTCTTTCGGTTAACTTTACTGACAGACAGAATTAAGGGCTCCTGTCACTTTAAAAGGACACTTCATGCATTTGCATTAAGCTTTCCATTGTTAGAAACCCAGTCATAAGTCAAAATAAGGACGAAGATAGATACTGAACACACAGACTGATGCATTATGGAGGATTGGGATTACACAGTGTCATCCAGTTTTTTGGAAGCTAAGCTAGCAGGCTCTTGCTCTGTGGAGAAAGCTGAGTAGTAGGGGTTACCATCCTCTTATTCCCGCACATGTCAGGCCGTCGATGTCCGCCATTTCACTGTTTACATGCACAGCTTTTGTTTCAATCTATTGGTGAATCTGAATGTAGTGTTTACGCTAAAAAAAGTGAACGGCTGATGAGTGCTTTAACATTGCTAAGAAAATTCCCGCTCCTCCGCGAGAGTCTCACAGGTATCGCTCATCGGTAATCACGCCACCGGTCTCGCGCCACATCGGAATAGGGGATTATCACGCTTCCGGGTTTCATGGGCGGGATTTGTCAACTTTGTGCATGTCCACTTCCGACGCAGTTCAACAATGCCTGAGACGAAGGCTATTTATTAGGGCAGGGTAATAAATATCGATTTCTCGATATTAATCGATTCTCATTTTTACAAACCGATATCGATTCTTAAATCTCAAGAATCGATTAGTCATCCTGTTTCATTTGAATGAATGAGACATTGTATCGCGGCTGCGTGCATCCAACAAATCGCAATAATCTATTGATATGAATTACTATTGATTACTATTGATATGAAACAAAGTCTCAATTTTCAAATTACGTCCATTTTCTTTAGAAATTCAAAAACATAAATAGCGTTTTGGCGCTGTGGCGTGAGATCGCTCTGGAGAAGCAGCAGCGCTGATCTCTCTTCCGGGTTAATAATACCAGTCACAGCGCCAAATAAACATGAATGAGCATCTGAAAGTGTGTTAAAAGATAGAGTACAACTTATCGAAATCCCTATCATTTCACATTGATTCGCTCAATCAGCGTTTCAACCGTGGAAAGACGTGTATCATGTATCGTCATATTTACCTCAGAAAACCCACATAAACTCGTTAGTCCACACTCGTTGGTGTTCTTCAATATTTAATGCATATTTGAATAAATCTGGCAAGTTTTTATGACAGCCACCATTTAAATGTTTATATTTCATATAATCTTCTTATTATAAAAATAAATAAAAGTGTAATTTACGTGTTTATATAGCTACAAAACAGTTCATTATTACCTTCATATTAGGGTAATGAGGCCTAGTAGGCTACAACTAGACTCCCATAGTTTACAGCATTTAAGAGATTTGATTCCCTTGAGAAAAATTGCCATTTATTGTAACTGATATCCAAAATAATCGATATTGAATCGAATCGTAAACGAAATCGAATCGAATTGCAAGCTTGTGAATCGAAATCGAATCGAATTGTGAAATTTGTCTCAATACCCAGCCCTACTATTTATGTCACTGCTCTGTTCTACTTTGTAAATCTAACCAACAACGTCCAACCCTACTTATGTTTTCATGGATTCCCGACTGAATTGAGTACAAGGAAGAAATGGATTAAAACTTTAAAATAAAACAAGGTAGCACGTTTGTTTGCAGCCGGCACTTTAGTGAATCAGACGAATTTACCAGGGATGCTGTATAAATAAACTTAGTGTAGTCCTTAATCGGTTTGCCAGCGAGATCGGTGAGTCAACGGAAGTGGCAGTGCACAAAGATCACAGAATCCGGAAGTACTACGCATCAGCGTGATAATCCCCTATTAATGGAGTTGAAATGGAGAGAAACAACGCGCACGGAACGGAGAAGGAGAATCAAGGTCAATCCTTATAATTGGCTAGTAAATGTGTTAATGATTGGTAAATATTGACTTTCACCAGACTCATGACTCTTACCCCACTGCCAGTCAACAGACAGGTCTAAAACCATAGAAGACCACATGAGAACAGATGAATGGTCCGAACAACAACATGATCTGTGTCTTTATCATCCAAAGAAAGAGCTGAGAAAGAGCTGGAAGTGTTTCACGATTCTAATTACACGCCGTCCACCAAATTGCCATCTAAAAGCTTGTTTCCTGCCCAGTGTGAAGCAGAGGGGGAAACTCCAGGGCGTAGCTACACCAACACTCCTCCCAAACTCCTATGGAGATGGGTATCTGAAAAACTGTCAGAAACACTGGATTACTTCCATTATGAGTAGGATGTGAGGTGGGCGTCAGTGACAGTTTCAGGTTGTGTTGTGTTTGGAGTCTGAAGAAGCTGAAGGTGGAGGTAGATACTAGTCCTCAGGCCAGGCTGAATGAATGGGATTACAGGAAACTTTCCACCCACAAGGCCATGCTCACACACACACATTCCAAAGGAGGGGAAAAACCCCAGGTCCATGGGAGAATGGGAAGCACATTTGTTTCGAATGCGCGTTTCTTTGAGCCCTGCTCTTTCGTTCCATTCTTCCATGTGAAATCCATCACTAATGCATTTCAGCGCACAGCTGCCAGTGTCCGGCATGAAGCGGCCCGTGTGAAACCATACACCTCTAGACACATGAGTGCATAAAGCACTGTAGACTGGGTCAGCAGCCCTCTATTTTTGACACCGTTTTATTAAAGCAACACCAAGTAACTTTTCCTCTGCGGTCGCCCTACAGGTTGGAAGCGGAATTGTCCGTAAATAATTTAGCCTACCGCAGCCTACTGTAACACACACACGCTCGTTGTTTATCCAGCACCGGCTTTGGAATGAAAGTTGTCCACAGACAAGGTAGAGTATGTTGTATGATTTCATGAAAGTATGATGTAATGTGACATCAGAAACGAGGATAAACAAAATAATGACTATTATAACATGTGACGTAAAGCAAGTCATATTTGTAGTTTTCTCATGTCTCATTAGAACTACAGAAACTCGACCCGATCTGTCAATATTACATAGTGTGGTTGTGGCAGATATAAGACCGCAAATCGAGGCATAAGTGCTTTTCATCCTGTTACGATTTGATGAACCACTGAAACGATTTTGGAAACATTATTTTAAGGTAAAAAAAAACAAATCATACTTGGTGTTGCTTTTAAGTTTCATTCAATCTTTTTTCCATATGTCAAAAACCTCAAAAGGACATACAATGTTTGTTTTTTAAAGGGATAATTCACCCACCATAAATTAAAATTATGTCAAATTTAATTTTAAACCACAATACCTTATTTTCTATGAAACAAAAGAAGAAATTTAAGTGAATTGCAGTGAATTAGAAATGTCAAGCTCCAATTTCTTCTTTTGTATTCCAAGGAAAATTCAGAACAATGACCATCTTCTTTTTCAGGTGAACTTTCCATTTTTAAGCTTTTTATCAACCTCAAAGTTCTAGCAGATTTTCCAAAAAGGTTATAATTCTCAAATGACACATTAACTTTAATTTAAGGAGAAAAGGAGAGGAATTAGCTACTCACCGACCACCATGAGAGTGAACTCAAAGCCCCGTTTCACAGACTTTCTGTACACTTGGTTGGGGAGATTTGCGAATCCCACGTACCCCTCAAGGTTTTTCTGTTGCTGTAGACCAAAACCAAACAAAGTCAATGGCTTTGTCATGCTAGTCTGACTAAACAATACAAATAAGAAACACACAGGTGGCCATCCATGACTAGATATGATTGATTACTGTTAACAAGATGAATCTTCAAAAACAAAAATTGTTTGACACTTAAACAATAGCATAGAAATTTGGCTATAATAAATGCAATTAGTTAAAAGCATGGTGATCATTTAAAAAATTATATTCGTTTAAATTTTCTGGAGAAAATGTCAATGCTTGCTTGTGCATAACAAAACAAAAAGTCCACCCCATGTCTTTATAATAAACACATGGATAACCACAACTTGGTGGAGCTTATGATCTGAGTATTTGCGAAGTAACAGTGAATAGCAGAGCAGAGTCTCTCGTCTCTATATTTTGCATTTGGTGTTTTTTAAAAAAAACGTGAATACAGCATGACTTCCTTTCTACTCTGACAAGTGGGTGTCAAAAACAGAAAGTTAAACACAGCTGCCCTTTTGAACCGATATATATATTTGATAAGGCTTGAAATGATTGTATGCATACTTACTGCTACTTTGGAGAGCATTCAGATCGTGTTGTTCCACAGATTGATGGATGAATGGATGGACGGGTCAGATTCCACCAGGCAGGGAAAGAGGTATCCACATACATAAATAAAATACATAAAAACAGAAAGAGAGAAAATGAGATAAGAAAGATAACCTCTTAATGCACTTTAGCTGTTTTCATCTGTAACTGCTGGTCTGCGAATCACTAAGAGCTTCACCACAACCATTGGCTCAGGTTTGATTGACAGCTGATGTTGAGCAGCCATTGAATAATAAATCATAGGACACTACAGTAGGTATAAACATCCATCTCAGGTGATCCAAACTCAAGTGGATACAAGTGTGTGAACAGTCTCTTAACACTGTTGTGGTCAATCAAACTATGTTCAATGGTCTCATTATTACTTACTGTAGGTGTAAAATAGCTAATGACCTATTACTGTGCTGATGCCAAATCAATAAAATAAGTTTGAGAACAAAACACATCTGTGGAAGCTTCTGTTAATACCCAACCTATTTTAGTTTTAACACAAACCACAAAAATGAACAGCACATATATAGTGTTTGCCCAGTGCTGAACAACTAAACCACTTCTCTAAACATACAGGATTACAGGAAGGCCAGAAATTGGGCTTCAGCACTAGACTTCCACATCGCCCCTCTGCCAGTAAAAGTGACCGTAAAAGTCATCTCACTGGATAAATCAGGCAATCATCAAATATCTGTGATTGCGGCACATAAAAAACCCAACTCATTTGACTATCAAAACCTTCATGTCATTCTGCTTACCCTACAAAAGGAAATGTCCTGAAGGGACACGCATGCAGCTGAGTAGATGCAAGTTTGTGATGATTAATCGCGATTAATCAGTCCTAGTTTAGTTTAAAATCGTTCAGAGCGGAAGAAAGAAAAGTAAATGACAGAATTTTCATTTTTGGGTGGAGTATCCCTTTAAGACTCACACATACATGAAATACATGAAGACCTCAAGGTTACATTCTGGGCGCCTGATGTGAGTTATTATTAGACGGATGAATGGCTTCTTCATCCAGTACATGGAAATAAATGTAAACAGTTAATCAAGACATGCCATGTTAAGTAGCTCAGACATTATGCATAATCCTCCATGTTCGTTCCACAGAATCAATGCATAGGCCTAAAAGTTTGGAATATCAAGAGGGTGAGTAAATGATGGCAGAACTTGCATTTTTGGGAGAACTATTCCTTTTAGGCATAGTTCACATGTCACGTCTAAAAAAAGGAAAATGCCAAGAAAACAATGAGATTTTCACCAACCAATGCAAGAGCTCCATCTGGACGGTAAGAGATTTATGTATTGTAAAAAGATGAGAAGAAAAAAAAAGATGAGATACATGTATTGTAAATAGCGCTAAATAAAGGTGACTTGACTAAAAAAATGTTGCTTCTGCTGTGAAACCATCTCTCCAGCGAGGTAATTAGACTACCATTAGAACTGAAAAGGCCACATTCTTAGAAGAAATGGTCCTATTTAGAACCAGAAATGGTTCCATCCCCCGCTTCATATATGGAACTCCAAAATGGTACCATTTTTTTTGGTAAAAGGCTCTATTGGCCAAGTATGGAACCCCAGGGTTCTATATAGAACCCAGAGGAACCCTTTTTTAAGAGTTTATAGAACCTTTTAGGGGTTCCAAATACGTAGCATTGATAGAACCTTTTAAGGTTCTATATAGAACCTTTTCTTCTAAGAGTGTAGAATAACCATTACCAACTGATAATAACTTTAAACAGATTGGTTGGCTCTTGTCACATGACCTGCGGTGCACTTGTAGCATTCTGAAAAGTTGAAAATCTCGCTGGGTTGTCACAATTTTGCATCTCTCTGAGTTGACACAATATTTTAACACAATATTAGACGTGGGTGTGTCTAATTTTAAAATAAACTTGATTGTGGAAAAAAAAAGGACGTGAACTGCAACTTAGAAGGAATTTTTAGATGACACCCAACCAAAAGCTTCACCTTGCAGAGATCGAGAGAGAGAGAGAGAGAGACACTTGAGGCCTGAAACAATGACATGTTTTTGTATGTGGCTTAACTGCCGGAAGAGATGTGGTAGCCTAAAACTAAAGCAGTAAACGCAATGAAAATGTATATGGTCTAAGTCTAAGAAACAGTGATGATATCCCTTTTTCATGAAAAACATTTTGGGCCAGAACTTCACAATTAAAAGGCAAACTGCACAGTTCATACAGTATAAAATTTTTTTAAAAATCCAATGCAAAATTAATAATGACTTTAACTAACCCATTGTGTATGGACACGTAGGTAAATGTAGAGTAATTTTTTAAGATTTATTTTCCAAAATCTGCTTTTAAATTAAAAAAATGTGGAAGGTATCCAGGTTACACCAATATTTTATTCTGGACATTTTATTTTTTTTATTTTTGTTGTAGTGAAGCCCTTTATAGTTTCTGATAAATAGTATCATCACTGTTGGTGAAGTGACTGACAGAGCAGCTCTGGAGAGTTCATGTGTCACATGTGCTTATGTATGTGTGTGTGTTAGACAAAACCTTATTCACAGACACTGGTCCATATCATGATCCAATTAACTGTAAAGTTTTTTTAAAATTTATTTATCCAAAATTTCCCAAATTCCATGACATTCCACATTTTACAGTAAATTCCATTTTTATGGCTGGCTTTCGCGATTTCATCCATGTTTCGTATCATAGAAAACCATGATCTTGTTGACTGATCGCATCAGCACTGCCTCCGCCTGGTTCTTCTCATCACACACTCAATGAAATCAGTCAGAAAATACACTCCATAAGGCTATTCTGACCACCCACAGTTCAGAGTCAGACAAATATTCTCTCTCAGGATTTTAGCTGTTAACTATTCACTTTATTGACATCCTACTCGCAAACACTATAAAGTCACTACCACATCCTGCATTCAGGACCAAAATAGATTTACATCCACAAGAATGATAGACCCTTAGCCATAAGAATTGCCATGTAAAATGTGCTCAACATCACTGCGTCCCTATACAGAGTACGTGTGATTATGAAACCAAAAGTGAAAGTAAAACACTGATGCGATGAGATGCGATCTCCCTGAAGGGTGCAAATTAGCCTCCATAAAATACAATAGCCTGTCTGCCAATATCAAACCCATCTCTGGACTGTGTTGTTGTGGCTCTGGTCTGTTTGCATAAGTCATACTCAAAGTATAACTGAAATAACATCCATTACAAGATTATTAGTAAAAAAAAAAAAGTCTAAATGCACCTGCAGACTATTTTTCCAGTTATGAATTTTGTCATTGACGATTTCTATTAAATATCGTGCAAAAAATCTCATCTCGTTCTCGTGAACCCAATCTTGTGTCTCGTTTGGTGAGATAAGCGTCTCATCACTATTACATCTAACATTCTTCAAAATATCTTCCTTTTGCGGCCCATAGGATTTAGTCATGCAGGTTGAAATGACATGAGGATGAGTGAATGACAATTTTCATTTTGGGGTAAATTATCCCTTTGAATGTCTGAAATAAAAAAAAGCCAAATATCTTAAAAAATTTGGCAAATTCAGCAATTAATACAGGGAAACAATTGCTGAGTCCGAAATCTCCACTCAAACCAGTACTCCCTACCCCCTATGTAGGGAGTACTACACTCCCTTCTCTCTCGGCGCCGTTGATTACATCATCTGTCAGCTGGTGCTTTTATAATAGATTTTTTAAAATAAATACATTAGCCTACATTATATTGAGCTTGTTTCTCCAAAATTAAAAACTAAAGGTAATTTCTGGCTGTTTTTGTTAAAATGCGCTACTCCACACATGATTATAACTTATTTTTACGATCAGCGCAATGCATGATGGTATGTAGGGCTTGGGTTAGTAGTGACCATCAGTTGTACACTACTTTTCAAAATGCATTTTGGGCTACTACTATATAGGGTATAATAATCATCACAAAATGGCGAGCTCACTTTATAGTTCATTATATATATGGTGAATAGTGGGTGATTTCGGACACAGCTAATGTTTGCAAATAAAAAAAAAACTTAAAAAAAATATATATATATATATTTTTAAATAAAATAAACTGCCGTTCAACATGTAGGCATATTATAATTTGTGCGTTGTTATTGCTATTAATTTTAACATTTTCATAACGTATTATTAATTAAATTACTGGTATTTGACCTAAAACCTTTCTACAGATGCTCTTTAGTTGGCTTAATTGCCTATATCTTGATTTATTCCCTTTTGAGGCAAGATAAAATCCATGGAATTTAGGATCAAATTTGATTGTATCTGGCTGCCTTTTATAAATGAGGCCACAGAGTAACCATGGGAAAATATACAGAGTCACATGTAAATGGACAAGAACGATTCAAGCAGTAGCCATGTGATCCAAACATGATGGGAATAAAGAAAGAGCGAATTCTTCTCACTGAACAAGAGCCCAACATGGTCTTCACCCCATCCGAAATCTCATGAGATCTAACTCATTCAATCCTGCTGTGTGTTGCTATTGGACGAAATTATTCTAGGACCGTTCTTCTGTATGAAGACTGAGGCTTCATACAAGATGTTAATGTTGCTTAAAAGTCAAGTCAAATCAAGTCATTCACATGCAACATCATTAATAAATACGAACTAAACAAGTCAAAGGGAGAATGTTTAGTATGACTATAGTCTTCAGTACAATAAAAGTGAATTTCGGGTGGTTTGTGCTTGACAATCTTGGTGGAACTTAACGTCAGCATGCCATGAAATCATAATTGACTCCCATTTCCCAAAGGCTATTTACTTTGTTAGCACACAACACTAACTTGCATGGATCAATTGTTCATTACAAGACTAATCCACAAAACAAAACATGTTTGGCTTTGTAATCTTGTAATCAGTTTGACATCTTGAGCAGAACATCCTTAACCAAACACCTCCAAGCTGGAGATGAGGAGGAGGTGCCCCAAAATCAAGCCCTGCCCTCTATTTAATATAATGTCACATTACTGAAGTCGACTGCAAATTCTGGTTTGCGCAAACTTAGCTTAATCATCACCAACCGACAATCGGGAAGAAAAAAAAGTTAATTGCGCAATTAAAGTTAAAAATGAAACAAATAATTTTGAGATTAATCAATGTACAAATTGTATCTGTATAGTGAGTTATTTGTATCTGTGCATACCTACCCATCCATCCACCCATTTGTCAATCAATCTCTCTATCAGTTCTTTCATCTTTTACTCTAGTATCTATACTTCCATTCATCCAAAAGCAAATGATCATATCTCTACATCATCAGCCAGGGTGTCCAATCCTGCTCCTGGATGGCCACTTTCAGGTGTTTAGCTCCAACACACCTGCCTGGATGTTTCTAGTGATCCTGAATACCTTGAGTATCTGGTTCGTGTGTGTTTAATCGGGGCTGGTGCTAAAACAGACCCCGACCAACTGCAACACACTCATTGAGATATTACTACAAAGCTGAGAGTGACAAACACAAGACAGTGTTCCTCCAGATGGAAACACTAGAGCTACAAATGTCTGGCCATAGCATTGCATTCGTTGCTTAAACCCACCCCAGTCAGTATTTTCTTGGTTTTCTGGACAAATGATTATGTTAACGCGATGTTTTGTTCATCATGACATTCTTTGAGGAACCTTAGAAACAATGAAAATACCATGGCACAGAAATATGCTTATGATTCAGTTCCATTGCTATCTGATAACGTTACCTACTATCATGTTACCTTACCAGCCACAGTATATTCGTAAGTGAAACCTCAATTAAATCCCTTATTTGAGGAAAGAGACAGTAAATGTCATGATATGACAGAAAGAGTGAAGATTAACGTTACACTGAAACCGAGAGCTTGAGCAGATCTAATTATTTGTCTATTAACGCACTCAGGAAACGCATCAACCGCGCGTAACAAAGCACACGTATTTAAAACACACTGCACAAATAAACCTATAAACCTACTTACAGAAGAGTTTGAGTTTAGTAAAGCGACAGGGACTAAATTCTCACCCATTCTGTTGACGCTCCCGGCCGCCTCTGTAACCGATCTCTCACCGACCGACATTCCCTTTCTCCAACTCACGGTCCAGCCCACGCGCGACAAGCGTACGTCACTTTTCTTGCGTATTCTCCCTTGCGACTACGGGGGCGACTGTAGTGGCGTATCTTTGGTGAATAGCGTCCGCACAAATCTCGCGATATTTCATGTAAGCCACAAGAGGGGGAAATATTTTTAATGATTCAAATGCGGTATGGGGATTAGTTTGTCATTTCATTTAAACGGAATATTCCTCTGCATGTTGCTATTAGCAAACACATTTTGGAAGGTTTGATAACTTGTTTAGGTTCACTGATAATAGTAACGAAAATAGACAATATTATCGAGGGTAAAAAAAAAAAAATCCATAGTAAAGCAACAAAAAAGTCCCTGACAAATCCGTTATATAAATATTACAAAATACAATCGTATACAAATATGTTTATAAACGAAAATTATAAATAGTGTAGATATCTATAAGTTAGTCTAATATGCGGTTCAATGACGCTTTACTGAAAAGGATCTGTCGCTTTTTCTTTTATATCTAATCATGAGAAGGCGCACAGATACACAGTAAATTCCATTTATTATAATGATATGGTTGAAGACCCACATCTGACTCCGATTCTGTAGATTTAATTACCTCGATAATGTACTGCTATGGAAAGAGCTGACAAAAGAGCAACAATGCTGCCACGTGTTGGCCAAAAAATATAAACACACATACTGTCTATGCATGATGTAGCCTACATTATTCACACACGTTTTTCGTCACTTTTTTAATGTGGAAAAAAACTACACACACACACATATATATATATATATATATATATATATATATATATATATATATATACAGACCTAGCTAATTTGGAATAAATTAAATAAATACAAATTGTGAGTTATAGTCTATAAATAGGCCTAATTTTAATTTGCAGCAAACATAAGTTCATGTCGGTCCATGGTGTATATATCGCATAAGCAAAATGAAACAAAAAATGTTTACATACATTCAATTCTATGTTGTCTTTGCAACTATTTCCCATTAAAAAGGGACCAGTAGCCTACAGTATTTTTGGCTTAATGTCCCAATTCCCTAGTTTTATGACAGTTTTCAAATATTGCTAACATTGAGAGGTCCTTTATATGTATATTGTAACATTTCAATTTGTGTTTACATTGTATCCTGGAAAAAGATTTTACACAAAAAGATAAACATGTTTATTTATTGTTTTTGTACAAGATCCACATCAGCTTAAAGAAATGTGACATGCCACATGTGAACAATCCCCAAATATTGTTGATCTTAAGCTTCTGCAACATTTCCACTCAGTTCTTTGGCCAGCTCCATCCCAATAAAAGGATTCTATAACTTCTTAACTTTTCACTGTCATTCATTGTTCGCATATAAGGACTTCCTTGTTCATATGTGAGGGCATATCCACATTTAACCCCTTTAGTAGCAGAGAAAATTGTCATGTTCAGTCCACTGATGAACAATTATTTTGGTTTACACAGAGCTAATTTTGTTTTCATGAATTAGTAACGTCGAAAAGTAACGTTGATTTCTCAGTGCTTTGGCCAGCTCGTTCTCTCTTCAAAGTCACTGTGCAGAAAAGCAGAAATATTAAATTATATATCATGGTTTGTTGTTTTAATTGTCTCTAAGTATTGAGCAAACTTTAATTTGGAGAGTAAATAAAACCAATGCACTTGCTTTGATTTGTGATGATCTTCCATTCCTGCTTGTGTCATGAGATCAGCGACATTGTTCTCCAGGTCATCTATACGTGTTCCCATCTCATCCAGTTCAGGTATTAAGGGAAAACGAAATGCTTTTATCAAGAATAAACATAATACTCTAATGTTAGGTTTGGTTTTAAAAGTATTATGTACAATGCCATTTAAAAAAGTTTGGGGTTGGTAAGATTTTTTCAGGATTTTGGCTAAAAAGGAGTCATACTATTAAAATAATAATTACCATATAAATTCAGTGTTTTCTTATGGAATACATTTTAAATGTAATTCATGGTGGCAAAGCTGATTTTTTTTAAAATATTCTAATATGCTGATTTGCTGCTCAAGAAACAATTCAATGTTGAAAACAGCTTGATATTTTTGTGAAACCATTAAAATGTGTTTGACTAGAAAGTTCTGTAAAGCTATCAATACTGTAACTTCTGATCAATTTAATGCATCCTTGATTTCTTATATGCCAATACTATGATAGGCTATATAAATTCAATGGTAAGTGAATTGGGCTATTATGCTACTTCGAGTTAGACCTTTTTTTAGACCTTATTTATTACCCAAAAGTTAGTGATATTGTCATTGTGTTCAAAACATGATATTGCTATGGTAACAACGCAAATACAAATATATTTCATGCTAGTGCAATGACAGTTAAATTATGTTAAATTAATCTGAAAAGATATTTTTGGAGATGATCTGGTCAGATAAGTTTTGAAACCTGCTCTGAAGTTGTTGCATTGTCGTCTCCATCTGTTTGAAGAAACGAATTGAGCAGATTAAACAATATTATAAAGCTGCAATTAGACAATAAAATGCTCTCGTCTTGCATATTGTCAAATTAAAAAAATGCATTAAAATAAACACTTGCCATAGCAGACAAATCTTTGGCGGCGGCATTTGACTCGGATCCTGCCATGAGATTTGTTGAGTTGCTTTATGTTGTGGAAGTTGTTCGTTTCAGCTCCAGGCAACGTTGTCTGGACTAAAAATGAACCAGTGTGAAAATAAAAGGTATTTGCTTTAACCTCAGAAAACTTTGGTCAGTCATAGCCTATATCCATCAAAATAAAATGATTCTATAACTTTTCAACTTTTCACTCTGACTTCCTCGTTCTAGTTAGACCGTTTTATAATGTTTTAGGTTATGATTTCGGTTCTCATACCGGTTGATACGCTAGCACACGCTGCTAATAAATAAATACAACGTGTAGTCCGTTTGCATTGTAATAACGATTATAGAAGTGAATAGAGACCTACCCAGCTTTACATGAACAGTGTTGCTCCCTGATTTTGTTAATCCCAGCCTCCGTCTCGATTAGTAGGAAATGGGGTGGTTCATTTTTTGACTGTGACCGGTCACGTTTTTGCCTCTATTTTGGATGCCTTGTTGTTTCTTGTGTTCCACCCATATGTCTTGAAGATAGCCTTCGAACTGCAGCCCCTTTTGCCTACTTCTATCGGACACTTTATTTGCTGCTTTATAAAAGTTTGATAACATTTCAGCAGGAAGAGCTGTCTCAGCACAAGCCATGTTGATACCATACCAAACCAGAGCCCAGAAGAGTTTGACGGAAGTAGCAACAGTAACTGTCACACTGCGTTGCAATGAGCAAATGATTAGAATTATTGCTTTTCTACTCTATACTTGTATGAATTCTATTGACTAACCACGAGAAAAGGGTGAATAAACTCTGAGATTCAATGTTCAGAAATTACTAATAGAGGGTATGCGCGTGACGTCACCGTTGGCCGGAGTGCGTGCAGTTCCTCACAGTGCGTCTCATTCATGAAACATTCGTAAATATACGAGTAAATATGAGAGTGATTTGCGCGTAAAGAGACCTTCCCGAAAACTCTTCTCCTGATTCACAAATACTTCTTAAACGTCAGATGTGATAGTGAAATGTGTGTGTGTGTGTGTGTGTTAATGAATTCCAACCTGTCGTATGGGATGCGCGTGCACGTTCATTCTCAATTACCATAAATCAAGTCCATCATATCCGACTGACATCTATATATAGGCATATAATAACATGAATGCGAATTTGATTTGATTTGATAACTTTATTGTCTGTTCAGATATGCAATTTCAGACGCAGCCCATTTGCTTATGTTAAATTATGGTTTCATCAATATTAAACAGCATATAGGCTAAATCAAAACTGCCTAATGTTACTGAATGAAAAGGGTGATTTATACGACTGTGAAGCTTTGGGGGGTGTTGATGCTCCTGATCGACCCTTTCTTTGTTTCATTGTTCTGAATCCCATCCAGACGCAGTCATTGACGAAAATGTGATTTTCTCAGCTTTTTTTGTTTAAATGTTGTTGTTTTTTATTAAATAGCCTATCACATTCAAGTGTTGATAAAAAATGCATAAAGCTAGAATAAAACAGGCTTTGTTTGTTTGTTTGTTTAAAAGTCGAAGTTCTTTTCTTTCTTTTATTATATGGTGTATGCAGATATTCATATATAACAAAACATTCTGGGGGCCATGAAACTTGTGAAAAGGATCAAAATGGTGGTGGTGGCTGGCAACTTTTTTCAAAAACGTTGGCAGGGAAAGAGTTAAAAAGAATACTTATTACTTGTATAGCCTACTTTAAAACAGCAATGTAATGTGTTTGGACATCACATTTGTAATGTAAATGTATAATTGTTTAATTTTCTAAATGCAGTTATCTGAACTTTAGGTTGCTTTTTGACCCACTTATTTATTGGCCACTTTACCACTTCACACTGTTTTGGTTTTACCATACATTTCAGATTTTTACAGATGCTGTCTCTAGTAGTCATCCAGAATCCATTCAGTTTACCCGTCTTGCTCTAATAAACATGTATGATTTGAACACATCTACATTTTAAAAGCTAAAATCATGTTGCGTGCAGGAAAGGGTCAACAAAGAAAAAAATCTATCATTCATTCTTTTTTTATTCATTCAAAAAGAATTCTGAAAGATTAAATAAGTTTTGGCATTTTTTTTTTTTACAAAACAAGGTAGTCTGTGTATAAATACTTTTGTTATAAATAAAACTTAAATTAGGTGTTTAATAATTTAAAATTAGAAAAGTTGAACCAAGAACTAGAAGAAATTAGCAGCCATGTTCCTCCCCCTCTTCAGAACAGCAGTGACAGGTTGAGCAAGAGTTGCATCCACAGTGTCAGATTCTAGGGAGTCAGTCGCCATGTTATAAAACGCTGCACCTTGTCGTATATTCGGTTGTTCAACGGGTTTAGCTATTTTCTGCTCATCACAGTTAGGATGAAACCATCTGTAGTATATAATTTTCAATAGAATTCCAGCAACGTGAAAACCTAGTAGTGTCGGGATCACTACATAAGGATTTAAGGAGCTCCAACAGCCTGTATACTCAAACACCTTCCAGCACCAGAAGCCCAGCAGCATCATCGTGTCCAACCCCATGACACTGTAATAGACAATAGTCTTTAATTTAATATTTCCTGTTGATACGTTAAACCAGCTGAAGTACCAGATGAGTCCAATAGTAGCTCTGTAGAGCCATTCCCAACCAGGACTTTCCATGTGATCGGTTTTTTGGCTCCAGACCCCTAAAACCAGCAGCATCCACAAAGACAGGAAGTGGGCTATGATGTAGCATGGCAATACACTGCAAAAGAGCGCCAGAGCAGTTACACGGGGAATAATCAGCAACAAGTTCCACAGAAAGTAGACGCCAGTGGAGAGCCAGCTCATCTTGCGTTTTTCTTGAAGAAATGAACGCATGTTGCGGTGGTACATGGCTACGGTAAAGGCTATTGCAGCAGCGGATGAGAGGATTTTTAAACCTGAAATGAAAAACCATTACATATTATTAAACAATAGTGTTCTTCTTAATATGCAAGTGCTATATGCATCACAGTAGAGAAGAAAAGACCATCACAATTTCTGTTTCAGGCAACTTTAAAGGTTTTTTTGGGTGCTTGATATAGCATCAGTTACAATCCACTTTCTTTATAAAAAGAGGTACAGATTTTAGATAAATATCTTCTTTGCTAAAGATCTTTTGTGTTCCATGTAAATAGAAAAATCTGAATGACGACGGTAGATAAATGACAGAATTCTAACAGGCGTCAGCATTAAAGGGAAGTTGCAATTGTCTTTTCTTCCCAATTTTGACATAGAAATATATATAAAAAATATATAGAGCGGGACTTTATTAGATCATTGAATTGTTGTGGTTTGCATTCTCAAGTGATTGACAAGCTGTCGTGTCAAGAAGGGAGAGTGATTTTGATTAAAGATTATGAGCATTATCATTTAAAATATTAATATAACTTGCATGGATAAATCGTTCATAATAAATACTGAAATTCCACTAGTGTGATGATTTCATAGTGACTTGGTTCAGAGACACATAATAACTGAAATGTGAAAGTAATAAAGATTCAAAGTGTTCTGGATTTGAGACAGACCTGTATTAAGCTCCAGCTCTCCGCTCTGTAAGATTCTACATATCATAATTATAAGTTGTGGGGCACTTTCAGAAAATGCCTCAAAGAGACGAAGCATCTGAAGGTCATGGTTCAGGTACACAGCCACACCCTCTGTGAAACTATTCGTTTTTTGAAGAAAACGTGTTGTGGAAATCTCTATAACTCCAGCATACCTGTGAACACAAGGTACATGCATTTACTTAAAGCTACACTGTGTAACTCTTTTAGTTTATTCTTAGCTAAAACACTTAGTTCTTTCAAAAATATGTGTGCTCATTAATGTATATTTAGTTCGTTCAATTAATAAATCAAGTAGTATTCTCGTGAGTGTATAATATGCCATTGAAAATACATACGGGTAAGCGGTCGCCATGTTGCCCCTCCATCTTGAAAGTACATTAGCCAAAGAGGGACATACCCGTTAATTAAAGCTTCGCCTTTCGCGTTTACGTTTAAATTAACACTCATGGACGAGGCGGACCGGAAGCCATGTTAATCTTGGACTACATTGGCCACCGTAGGAGTTAAAACGAAATCGGAATTGAGAGGAACAGAAACTAATAATATTCACTGGATAGTCGTATACCTTTTCACCACTAGATGGGGTAAAAATCACACAGTGTAGCTTTAAGCAACACAACAAAACTTTACAACCCTTACAGTATTCAAGTGTGCTATTAGTATACTTCTGAAACTAAAAATGAAGTATACTTTTAGTCTATTTGATCATGTACCTCTCAGAAATAAAACATATAATTTGACCATTGACTTGTAGTTGTGTTTTGATAGAGTTGCCTAATTTTTTCACATTGTTTTACACAAATTTTAACTATAATGCATTTTCATTTAATTGCAATTGCAGTGAACATGCAGTGAAGTGTCTAAAAACATTGCATCCAGTTCATAAGGACTCATTTTAAATGTATGCTAAAGTGTAGGCTACTTTTTCCCCTCACAAGACTATTCAAGAAAATTTGAGAAGCAAATCCTGTCACAAACCTGAGGTAGACTCCAAGCTGAAGGAAGTGGAGGGGTTTGATCAATATATGCCTGTTAGCAAATTCCTCCACCTTAGTCTCAAGATTAGTCTCCAAGGAATCCGAGTACCAGAGCCAGCTGAACACCTGTAACAATACTGAAGAGCCCAGCAGCAGAACGATCATCACCGTCATATACACATAGGCCCCATCCTGATAAAATGACACAACAGTCCAAATGTCCAGTGCTATATCCACCAGGAAACATACCAATCCCAACAATGTAAACAGGTATTCTAATAAAGAGTACTTGAAAGGGAAGCTTTCCTCCATGACTGATCCAGTGTGAGAAACCTTTACAGCAGGACAAAGTAAATACAACTACCTCATTTTTACGTTGATATATATGCTGTTAGAAAATCAGAAAGAGAAAGTAAACTTAACACCCACACACAAACTCCTCCCATGTCATTTTTTGAATGATTAGTCATCTGTGAGCGAAGTCACTTAACCATGTGACCTCACTCACACACAATTGGTTCCCATGATATATTCCAAGACCTGATATCCATTGTACTTATATTGTGTTTTGCAACTCAAAACAACTTTGAATATTATAACTTGATGCTATTACGCTTATCAAAAGTAACCATAAGTAGTCAGATTACCTAAATGTCAAATGTAATGGGATCACGTAAGTAACTACAATTTATATTATGTTATTTTGAATCAGTAACGGACTACATTCTAAAAGTAATCAGCTCAATTCAATGGAGACCAGTCATAAATAAAAATAGAACTGAGACATAATATAATAACCCATGATTTATTGCATTCCACATGGGTATGACAAAGAGAACACATGTTTGAAAGCGTTTGTCACGACATCCAATTGTATTGAAACTACAGCCATACAAACCAAAAACAGGAACTTAACGAAGGGGATATTCACTATTGGATAATGTTACAATACTACAAGAAATTCTACTGTCAGACATTTGTGCTGACAATAATGAGTAATTTACTGTATCGAAAAATATATTGAAAGTGTAGACTACGCATAATCATTAACAGTGCTGTTCAATACCATTATCATTCTGTAAACACTTAACAATTTTTGAAAACCTTAATAGAAAACTTTTTACAACATATATACATGTGCAAAAAAAAATAGAAATAGTTTTGGCAAGTTGACTAAGGATCAGTCTGTGCACATATTTCTATTCTACATTAAAGAAATGAAAGAACATTCACTGAAACCGTACTTGATTGAAGTAAAAAAGCAACTTCAATTTGGGTCCGTTCCTCACACAAAGCAATACATTTTTAAAGTTGAAAGTTGATACAAACCATAAGTTGATTAGTCATTTTTGTAGCTTGTCAGCCCACCCATCATCAAGTCATGTGGGTGTGGAAAAAAGTCATGATGACAATTTTAGTTTTGGGTGAGCTATTCTTTCAAAACAAACAACAAAATGAAATCATCCCAAAACAATAATTTGTAACACTGTGAACAGAGAATTTAAAAATACAATAAAAAAGTGTAACAGTCAAACAGGCTACATGCTATTCATTTTTACCGTACCAATACATTATTTGCTTTACATTCATTTGTAAAAGTTAGCAGCATGTTGGCTCATCCTCTTGTTAAACCTTTGAGAAGACGCACCACTGGCCTGAATAACGATGTGTGGCGTCACTCCATCCGAATCACCGTCGCCCTGAAGAACGCTGTCCGTCTCCCCTCCACCAGAAGCACCATCGGCCTGAAGAAAGACGTGTGGCTCCCCTCCTTCTAAACATTTCCTAAAATTCGCTGACCGCCACAATTTGGGGTGAAAACAGCAATAGTAGAGCACTTTTATCATTAGGCCCAAGACATAACAAAGTGGGATGGAGATAATCAGGCTAATGGCGTACGACTGGGTCGTCTCTGCATCGCGGTAAAACCACCATGTGGCCAACAGGATGCCAGTGTCTGTGATGATAAATGTGTGGTAGATGCTACTCCTACTCCTGGTGTGTCCTTCAGCCACATTAAACCAGCTAAAATACCAGATGAGACCTATGGTGGCCCGGTAGAGCCATTCGCCCCCAATGCTGTCCATGAAATCGGTGCCCTGCCGCCAGGCCCATATAACAAAGCTAGGCCACAAAAACAGGAAGTGAGCAACAATGTAGCTGGGTCCCACGGAGGCAAAGAGAGCAATTGCAGCTACGCGTGGGCCAATTAGAAAGAGGTTCCAGAAGAAGTAGACCAGTGAGGACAACCAACCCTGCTTGTCCTTGTCGGGCAGAAACGAACGAAGCGACCGATGATAGTCCACCACCATCCAGGCTATAGAAGTAGTGGAGGCGACCACACTCACACCTGCGAAACAGAAACATCAGTGTCGTCTTCTTCCACTTACATCAGTGGTTTTGTGAAAAAACAATGCGAAACACATTTAATAAAATCAAACTAATTTAATAGTGGTGTATTATTATTAACTACCATAAACTAAACCTGAAATAAAACAAAATTATTAGATGTGAAAACTCTAGCTTAAATTAAATTGACAAATGCTGCCTTGGGTACTAAATGAAATAAAATAAGTGCGAAAATCACTACAATTAAAAGTAAAATTAATATTAAATAAATACATCGAAATGACTAAAACCTAGACTAAAATTAAAAACCGGAAATAATAAAAATACAACATTAATAAATACTATATTAGTACAACAAATAATCGTAAAATAACACTTAGAAACATAAATAAGCTTATACATTTTTGGAAGATATGGTTTAATCAAGTAAACATTTTTTATATATCTTTAATAATCAAGTATACTTTAATAAAATATGTAAAAAGGATTGTGTAAGTGTGTGTGTGTGTGTGTATATATATATATATATATATATATACATACACATTTTTAGTTTTGGGGCAGAGCACTAAATGACAAATCACAACCGGACGCATAATAAAACAGGCTGTACACTGAACCTCACATGACAAAGCGACCAAAACATTTTTTCTTTCAACTGATTTGTTGCTGTAAAGTTGCTGTAATTTCAGAGTATTACTAATTAAAACATTTTTCTAAATAATAATAATTATAATAATAACAACTATTTAATATTAACTACTTAATAATAATGTTTGAAAGATTCAAACATTTCATTATTTTAATGAGGCTTTTTTCATAATGATACTAACATTTATATAATTGGGACTTTTTTTAAATACATCCCCAACCCTACTGTATATACTATAAGGAAGTTTGGTACGGTTTTTAATGTCCATCCAATGTAAAATCATAAACCTGTAGGGAGATCAGATTTCTGCATGTCCTCTTTAAGTCAATGCTCAAGTTTCTCAAATCATTTGATGAAACAATTGTCAGCTTCAACAGAAAGGAAATTCTTTTTACCACAAACTGGCTAGAGGAAATCAAGCATAAATTAGAGGAAGTGTTGTTTGGAGGATTTATTGTAAATTTATTATAATAAGTTACTGATGAATCTCACGTGGATGATCACCCCTCGAGCTGATTGGGTGTCATACGTTTTAAAGAGAAGTGGTTATAATTGTTAGAGCAGAAGCAAAATGGTTACCCACATTGTACAATCCTTGCGTGGTTGTTGCGTAAAATGATGTACATCATGAGGGTGAGCTGGGGAGCGCTCTCGCAGAACGTCTCAATGAGACGCAGCATGCTGAGGTCATGGGTCAGATAAACTGCAAACTCAGACCCACACTCCCCTCGCCACCACACACGAAAGCCCTGCCAGATAGCTGATACGTGCCTATGAAGAAAAAGAGAATTAATGAACAAAATATCATCAAAGTATGCTTAAAAAGGAGATTTTGGTATAGAAAGGTATAGTTTGTTTGTTTTTACACACCCTCCTATTAGGGGTGTACCAATACCCTCATGTCACGATTCGATACAAATCACAATACTTAATTGAACTCACGATGCGATTATTATTATTGCGATACTCTAAGACATACGATAAAAGGTAAACAAAAAGTGTACTGTTGATTAAAATGTTAAATTTGATATTACATTGTGGGTTAAAATGAATAGGTTTGGACTTGGTGCTTGTAACCCAAGGACAATGGTGACACCAGAATAAAAATATTCATGATTCTGAAGCTGAAAATACAGAATAATTTAGATGAATATACTTGCACTCTGTCACTGATTAGATATTTTTTAAATAATGTCAGGTAACATAAGACATTTGGCAAAATCAGGACCCACAAATATTCCCCATTGCATTATTATACATTATATTCGACATTATATATAGTAGTTTAATATAGAACCGACACTAAAACTCTATCCACAATACATATTGTCACTATCCACAATACGTATTGTTGCATTTTTGTATTTATTTATTTAGAAAAGGGACAGTGTACATTAATAAACATTCTTATATGTAAATGTACCCAAATTAGCCCAAAGGCTAATTTTCATTGGTAGTCGTTGTGATAGTAGTATTGTGATATATTGTGGCATTATATATTGTTACACCCAAGGTCTATGGATAAATACATATTCAGTTATCATCATGAGTCATGAAATGATCATCTAAATACAGGGATTTGCAAACTAGGATCCGGGGCACAACGAGTGCAAGGTGTCTGTGAAAATGTTTAGTGAAAAACTGTAAAAATTGTAAAAGAAATTAATATTTTTTTTTTACAATTTTTATATAAATTAATACAAAAATGTAATAAATATTTGGTATTAATAAATGAATTAATACACAATACAGTATAATGAGTAGAAAACATAAGCAGCTAAATATTTTCCAAAGAATACTTTACACATGCATCTAATTTATTTTGCAGAGTTTGTACATTAAAAATTCTAACCTTGTTATAAAATTATAACCCTGATCAAATACATCCCTGGATTTTGGTAATTCCACAATGATTTTTTGGAATCGAAAGGTTTACATTTAAGAATGTTTTGAAGAAAAACTGTAGGCTATTCAAAGGAAAGACACTTTACTCACTGACTAGATTATAACAAAAGTTACAACACACCACAACCACACCACATGCCGTTATCAAGATTGTCTGCAACAGATGTGACAGATGTAGGCTAGCGATAGAAAAATGCACACGTTTTTTCTTGAAATAAATAAATAAATAAACATAAAAAGCGTTTGCAAGGTTTTTTTTTATTAATAAGTCGTTTATTTTGTTTTTGTTTTTAAAGATGTACTTGTTTGCAATTTACGCTTTATTTAAAAGACTTGAAATTTTTTTTTTTTTTGGCAATATAGCAACAGTAATAGTTTAACGAGCTTAAGCTCGTGATTGCACTGCAGTCTCACCTGATGAAGTAGCCCAAATGACACAAATGCAGGAGGAGCAACAATTTAAGTCTTCTCGCTTCACTGAAGAGAACGGTGTTCCCAGAGGACGCTTGAGACTCAAAGTCCGACAAATGACGATCATACTTCAGCCAAAACCAGCTAAACAGCTGAACAACGACAGAAGACATGAGCATGAAGCCCACCAAGACCCCGAACCACATGAAATCTCCATGTATGTAGAACTCCTTCGCCACCCACAGATCCGAGACCACGTCAAACAGAAATGTGCACACGCCGATCACAGAAAACACAAAATCCAACCAGGTATACGTCGGGTGGAAAGTCGCGTTCTCCATGATGGGATGAACTTCAAAACAGAAGAAACTGATTGAAGTTCAGCCACAACATGCATTTAGCCGTTAGCATATATGTAAGTTAGGGCTACAGGCAAACCACACAAAAGTTCCGCACCTTAAGAAGTTGATTCTCATTATTCACGTAAACGAGAAATCGGCGAGCAAATGCGTCTCTTCAGAGCCATTTCTACAGCAGCAGACAGACGATGACATTTTTGAACATAAAACTTGCACTGGCATAACTTAAGTCGCGCCCACGTGACGTCACTCACACTGCAACATATGTAGTAAATATATTTTGAGTCAAAAACTACGTCTGTAAATTTTATGATTAATCTTATGATTCTATTTGGCAAATTTCACATTCATAAAAGTAAATTTAATAATTCTAAGCCTTGTTTAAAGGTTTTTTTGGCTGATTTTATGTTGTATATTGAATCTCTTAAATGTATAGATAATAAGAAATGCTCGGACACAATTGTATTTGCTAAAGAATTGAAAATAATTGAACAGTGAAGAATTATATGTTTCTCTTCTTTCCTCAATACTGTCTTGGATTGTAATTTCTCGCAGCTATTATATTTATAAATAGTTAAATTTAGCCCTTATATTTATTTATTATATTTTTATTTATTTTATTTATTTTTTAGTCTCTTGTTCATTTATGTTAAACTATTTTTGGAAAATCTTGGATTGTTGTCTTTTTGGATGTCATGTTATTGTTTGTATGTTTGTATAATGTCTAATAAAAAAAAAAAAAAAATAGTCCAAACAGGCCGCTCGAGGCTACTTCTGTTAAATAAAATATCTCACTTGGCATTGAAAAAAAAAAAATTCATAAACACGTAGACGAAATGTTTTTGCACAGAATCGGGTAGGAACACTTTAAATAAATTAAATGTATTCAATGCTTGGAAATAATTATCTATCAATTTAATTTCATGACTTTAATACAGAAATGGCAAATAAAAAATATTGAAAATGCAATAATAATAATAATTATTATTATTATTAAATATAGGTCTGGATGTAGCAATTATTTTAGAAGTTACGTGAAACAAGCTTCAAATGTTTGAATTAAATGTGTATTTCTTTTTGACCACCAGAGAGCAGTGTTGTACTGTAGCCCTTTACTGGTCAACAGAAAAATAAATAAGCAAGCGCATCAAATTCATATATATTGATATTTATGTCGATGTATAAATAAAAGTGCACAGTAGGGAACCGTCTCACAATTAAGGGGATAGTTCACTTTAAAATACATTTTTGATCTGTTTTAGCTTACCTCAAGGGCATCCAAGATGTGGGTGTCTTTGTTTCCACAGCATTTTCAATTTGGATATTTTTAGGTCAAAACTTTGTTGTCTGTCAGTCGTATTATGCAGGTTTCCCATGTAAAAAAAAAAAAATACAAACATGGGTAGGATATCATTTTCTGCATGAAAATGTAGAAAGGTTACACAATTTCACAAAAAATTGTGAAAGGTTACCCAATTTCGATGGTTCACTATAGACATTCTAATAACTATAATTAACTTAGTTGACATGACTAGAATGTTGGAGGAGGAGCATCAAAATAAAGTTGTCTGACACGAAGTTGCAACGTTACTCACAGTTAGTAGAATGTATAAAGTGGACAATCAGAATAAAGTGTTACCCATCACTCTTAAAACAAGATCTGAGTCTTTGCCCTGCAGATTTTTTGACAGGCAGTGAACTTGTTACACATTATGAAAAACACTCCCAGTCCTTATTCATGATTGCAACAGCCTTTATTTGTATTATGCAGCTGGAGGTGTGTTCTTACAAAAACAGAGAAAAACAAACTTGAAACCACCATCTTGTCTGGAAATTCATTTATATAGGGTCGTTTTTACCATCTGATCTCTGTTGAACTGAACGGACAAGCATCATAGACAGACCGCTTCCAGGGAACCCTGAAGTCCTAACAAGGTAAAATTACTCCAACAAACACGAGGTTTGATTTTAAGCACATAAACACGCAAAAGCATTTCGCAGTTAAATTCATTGACCTTCGCATGTAGCTTTCAGAAACCTTTAAGAGTCTGGCACTGAACCTAATAGAAATAGCAAAGAGCTGCTTTGTGAAACAGAAATATTTTTCACACAACATAAGCCCTTCATTAGTCCACTTTAACCGTTGTTTGCTCATAAAACAAAAGCATCATGGAAAAGGTCACCAGTAAAAAGATTTGTGCTGAAAACGGAAAGTGTTAAAGGAAACGTAGTCATCTAAAAATTGGACTCTGAAGAGAAGCTGTAGAAAGAAAAATTAGTAGAGAGTAAGAAAGCACAAATTTTGTCCATGATTCACATTATCACACCGCCCGGCTCTTTCAGACAGTCACGATCATTTGAGGCATGATTAGGGTGTCGGTCCTGGTGCAAGGGTCAAAGGTCAGAGGTCGCCTTCACCATATCTCATTAACCTCAGAGATGCGCAGCCTTTCAGACCTCTGAGTCGTAAGTCTTGGAAAAGCCATGGCAGTATCCACACCACAATCAAGAGTGAGGAGGATTTTAGGCACCAGCGGGGTTTTCATCCAGACCGAATCGGTTCATCTTTTTACAGCAAAAGTGCATCAGGTGTGGCCCAGTCCATCAGGTTCAGAACAGCAGGGTGAGGGTGCAGTCACATGATGCAGCACTTGTTCTTGAAAATGTGCGGGTGCTTATAGCGCAGTCTCTGTTTGGGCCGATATTTCTCTAGATATGTCAACTGCTTGCTGTTTATTGCACCTCTGCGCTTCCTGTGAAGGCAAAAAAACATGTTCATTTACAATTTCATCTCGGTACAATTAAATTAGACGGCAGATAAAAATGGCTTGCCAACTCATGTTTCACTCCAGCCCACATTGGACTGAAAATAGCATAGAAAACACAAGGAACGGTACCTGAGGGAGCAGAGCTTAAAAAAGGATCAATTGCGAATCTTTTGCGTATTGAAAGCTTAAAGCTTGGCCTTGCTATCAAAAGGCACTCTGGCAAGCGTAGCAACTAAGAACTAGCTTTTATGATCCACTTGTATGTATGTATGTAGCAGTTGACGTCAAGAGCTCAAGGTCTGTTGTCCTTGAAAGAAGTCGAGAGAGATGTACGTACTGTCTGATGAACTGGATGGCATCTTCATACTTCATCCCACTTTCAATCAGTGCCACAGCCACCAGTACTGGAGCTCTAAAGAAAACGATAAACAAAAAAAAAAAAAAGATTAAAAAAATTTTTTTTTCAATGTTTACTTAAAGGGTTAGTTCACCCAAAAATGAAAATTCTGTCAGTATTTACTCACCCTCATGTTGTTCCAACCCCGTAAGACCTTCGTTCATCTTCGGAACACAAATTAAGATATTTAAGATATTAAGATCGCTCCTGCATACAGTCCATAGGCTTCTTGAGGGACTGGCTCTTGCTGTCCTCGAAAAGTCATTAAAGACATCGTTAAAATAGTCCAAGTGACTACAGGGGCTCAATCTTAAGTTTATCAAACGACGAGAACACTTTTGTGCGCAAAAAAAACAACAAAAATAACGACTTTATTTCAACTATTCGTTTATTTCTCCCTCTGCGCGAGTCAGGTTACTAGTTTAATAGCGTAAGCTTCTGTTATTGTACGTCACACGCATCACACACACATGACCAGCGTCGGCCAATAGTGAGCCTACGTGTGACGTGGCTCTACGCAATCACACTACGTTAACTGACTTACAGGCTCATGGAGAAGGAAGTGAATAGTTGAAATAAAGTCGTTATTTTTGTTGTTTTTTTGCGCACAAAAGTGTTCTCGTCGTTTGATAAACTTAAGATTGAGCCCCTGTAGTCACTTGGACTATTTTAACGATGTCTTTAATGACTTTTCGGGGACAGCAAGAGCCAGTCCCTCAAGAAGCCTATGGACTGTATGCAGGAGCGATCTTAATATCTTAAATATCTTAATTTGTGTTCCGAAGATGAACGAAGGTCTTACGGGGTTGGAACAACATGAGGGTGAGTAAATACTGACAGAATTTTCATTTTTGGGTGAACTAACCCTTTAAATACGGCAGCATAATATCCAAGGTATATCCAAGTTCTAGAACAACATATGCTCCCATCCAGACATCGTCTCTTTCAGGGAAGACCTTGTATTTTCCAACAAGACAATGCCAAACCACATACTGCATCAATTACAACATCATGGCTGCGTAGAAGAAGGATCCAGGTACTGAAATGGCCAGCCTGCAGTCCAGATCTTTCACCCATAGAAAACATTTGGCGCATCATAAAGAGGAAGATGCAACAAAGAAGACCTAAGACAGTTGAGCAGCTAGAAGCCTTTATTAGACAAGAATGGGACAACATTCCTATTCCTAAACTTGAGCAACCTGTCTCCTCAGTCCCCAGACGTTTGCAGACTGTTATTAAAAGAAGAGGGGATGCCACACAGTGGTAAAAATGGCCTTGTCCCAACTTTTTTGAGATGTGTTGATGCCATGAAATTTAAAATCAACTTATTTTTCCCTTAAAATTATGCATTTTCTCAGTTTAAACATTTGATATGTCATCTATGTTGTATTCTAAATATAATATTGAAATTTGAAACTTCCACATCATTGCATTCTGTTTTTATTCACATTTTGTACAGTGTCCCAACTTTTATGGAATTCGGTTTGTAGATCTACATAGGCTAAAGCAAATTTGCCTGTGAACGCTTTATATAAATGCAATATAGGTAGGTCTAAATCCGGGTGATCACTTATATCAGGGTTATATAGCTACGTTTTTTGTGCTATATTTTATTACTGACATTTTACTTGAAAACAACAAACAACAAAACTTGCATTGTTTCACAGGTAGTAGATTTGACTCCTGAAATGTTGGTGTCGTAACCACTCTAACACACACACACACACACTTTATTGGCTCATTCGAGCAGCTCAATTGTTCCATGAGATGTTTCTTAAATAGAAATGACTGTAGCTGTACAGTTCAAAACAGATGGAGCAATGCCACATTAAATCCAGTGGAAAAGAGGCATTACAAGAAGTTAAAGCAGAATGAACCTTTGGTCTAATAAAACATCGGTACCTAGTCAACCGTTCTCTGACATTTATTTATTTTAATCGAATGTAAAGAGTTTTATCTCTAAAAACGATTTAGCGTATAATGCTAGTATATGGGGGCATTTACTAAGTAAAAAGAAATAGCTAGTTTATACCACTAACAAGGCTCAAAATATCCCCACACTAACACAGTAACATAATGAGGGTCCGTACATGCAAAACGAAGAGTGTACAGACCGTTTAATAAGAAGATTTTTATAAAGACAATAGGCTTTATGCACAACTTACTTCCGCATTCTGTAAAACAGGTCGCATCGCTTCCGGTCCAGGTCTTTTGTATGTGCTTCATGAAATTTTTTGCGGTTTTACTCAAGATAACTTAAAAGGAGCGAGCAAAGATTAGCATAACCAATATCCCTCACATGTGCAGATTGATATTTAAACGTTTTATATTTTTTCTTCTTCACAGTAACGTTTAGATATTTAAATGGAATAAATTGCCAATAACAAAGTGAACTAGTTAGGTTAGCTGATTACCTTAAATATATATAGTAGATATCGTAGTCAGTTCTTACGGCCGTTAACACTTTCTCTGACAAGCGGATGCGATGAGACTTGTTTTCCGGTTTGGTCACGTGACGCACGGCATAAAGCCTATTCACTTCGTGTATACAGACAGGAGACATCTTGGAAAACAGTCACGACAAGTCAAACCACGAACGACGTGCTAAGTGAGCGACTTCTGAACTGTATGAACGGCGTTCGGGGATCGACTTATCGAGACTATTTTCTAAGATGGCTCCTGTCTATATACAAAAAGTGGACTGTCTTTATAAAGTATCTTCTTATTAAACGGTCTGTACACTTACAAAGTTCTCAATGCTTCGTTTTGGATGTATGGAGCCTCATTATGTTACTGTGTTAGTGTGGGGCTATTTTGAGCCTTGTTAGTGGTATAAACTAGTGATTTCTTTTTACTTAGTAAATGCCCCCAGAACTAGCATTATACGCTGAACAGTTTTTAGAGATAAAACTCTTTACATTCGATTATCATGAAAACAAAATATCAGAGAACGTTTGACTAGGTACCGATGTTTTATTAGAGTTTTCCTTTAATTCATCCTACATGAATTCATGTTTTACAATCAAAAGTCAAGATTCAGGGAAAGCAAAAACAACAAAAACTTCCAGAATAGGTGAGTGGTGGAAAACAAAGGTTAATGCTGTTGCTAGGTGTTCTGAATGGTTGCTAGGTGGATACCTAATGGCCCAAGTCATATGCAAAGACCAGAATATCGTAGAGACTTGGGGGTAGGATCTTTTTATATCACTCAAGTCTCATCTTTAATGTCTATGCGATCTTTCCACTCTCTTTATCGCCTGCCAAGCGGAAAATGTTAAATCTGATCTCTTTCAAAAGTAACAGCACACTTCTCCATAATTCATGCCTGCAGGGACGACAAAGAAAAGTTTAATACTTAACCCTCAATGCTTCACTTTCAAACATACACTGACTGTATAGTAAAGACAATTAAATCTTACGCCATAAACCCCATTTCTAAACAGTGTTGCCATCTGAAAATAAACGAGTTGGGCCTAAAAAAACATTGGCACTCTTTCAAGATTCGAGGCAGATTCCCTTTGGAAGTGGATGAAGTGCGTCAGAGACAGAGTTTTACTGAGAGCAGCGAGGCCAGACCACCTCCTCCTCTTAACGTCACCTGCTGTCGTTTGGGGTGTTTTGTTGCACTGTATGTGTACCAATAAAGAGCACAAATACATCATCTGTAGGAGATACTTATGAGACACATACTGTTCAATATTTATGTTTCACAACCAGTGTTGGGTGTAACTAATTACTAAGTAATCAGTTACTGTAATTTAATTACTTTTCCCTTGAAAATGTGAAGTAAGGGATTAATCTTCATTTATCAGTAATTAAATTACAGTTACTTCTGATGTAATTGAGGTAAATACTGTGTATAGATCAATCCGATCTCACAGCGATTCGTATGCATTTTATGAGGCGTCTAAATAGTACGACCGCACTCGTATAAATTCGTATGAATTATTGTAAAATATGTGTGAAAAAAGTGTGAAATGTCATGCGATCAGACATAAAACAATAGTGGGTTTAACATCAAAATGTATTGTCTGATGCTAAAAAGTATGTTTTTATAATGTAACTTTCTTCACCTTGGTCAGTTTAAGGATAATTCATACAATTTTATAGTATTTATTTGAAAGAATTAAAACAGATTCATGTCTATCCTTGAATTATTCAACTGATTGAGATTGATATGGGATTTAAGTAATTAAATACTTTTTAGAGAGAGTAATTAGTACAGTAATCTAATTAAACTGTTGAAGAGGTAATTAGTAACTAGTAATTAATTACTTTTTTTAGAGTAACTTACCCAACACTGTTCACAACATAATGCACTATGTACCTATACTGTATGTACCCATTAAACGTCTATGGTCGAAAAATAGCTAAGGGAGTTTCCATTCATGAACAAAATTCATCCAAAGGTAACTGGGAGCATCAGTCAAGTGGGATAGAGCGCTGGCATAAAGGTCATGGACGGAGCACACGTTTGAGGAGGTCAGTAATAACAAATGGATAAAAATCAACTTCCTGTTTTGTCTTCGGCCCTAACCCCAATGCCTCTTAAAACAGAGAGGGACTGGGACTGTTTGGGGAAGGTTGACTTTGGCGGAGCACTCTGTCCACTTTGAAGCCTCCGAAGTGGTACCTCTCGCTCACTTTGTATGTAGTATGGTTTCAGTCCATTGAGGACTATCAACTTCATCTAGAGCTAATAGAGTAGACATGTCTCCTGGGAGACTAGAGGTGCTTAATGTTCTATAGGGCCCACAGTACACATTCCTTTGCAGATTAAGGTCTAGAACAGGGCACACAAGGTGGGCTTACCAGACGAGAAATGAACCCATTTGCCCCCAGAGTTCCCAGGCCTGAGCAAAACCCAGCTAGTCAGCAAGTTAAAGGATTAGGTCACTTTTGAAAAAACTTTTGCTGATAATTTACTCACCCCCATGTCATCCAAGATGTCCATGTCTTTCTTTCCTCAGTTAAAAAGAAATTAAGGTTTTTGATGAAAACATTCCAGGATTTTTCTCCATATAATGGACTTCAATGGGAACCAAATGGTTCAAGGTCCAAAAGACAGTTAATAACAGTTTCAGATGCAGCTTTAAACGACACCAGACGATGAATAAGGGTCTTATCATGCGAAACGATCGGTTATTTCAAAGCTTATTCCAAAAATGTAACTATTCTAAGGACAAATGCTAGCCTTGCTCTATTCTGTGAGGCGCGTTTGTAACGTCACGTAATACGTAATTACGTTCAAAAGGTCACAGGCGACGCAGCCGGAAGTACAAAATCAAAATTGTCCGACATCGTTGTTTTACCTTTTAATTCCTTTTTTTGTAAACGGCATTTGAATTAGTTTGCACGTTCATTGCACTATGCGTTCAACTTGTAAACACTGACTCTGTACTTCCTTATTCATCGTCCGGTGTCGTTTAAAATCCTGGAATGTTTTCATCAAAAACCTTAATTTCTTTTCGAGTGAGGAAAGAAAGACATGGACATCTTGGATGACATGGGGGTGAGTAAATTATCAGCAAAAGTTTTTTCAAAAGTGAACTAATCCTTTAAAGTGTCACGAAGGCTCGTTGCGCACAGAAATATACACTGCACGTGTCCAAACGCAAAACTGAACAGGCAGATGAGAACGAACTGTGCTGAAGTGGTCTTTTGTGAGTGGTCTCTGCTTTACTGAGATCTCATGTGTAATAAATACATTGCAGAGATTGGGTTAAAAGAGATAGAGCAATGGTCAGAAACTGCTGACATACTTTCGTATTGACCAATCAATCACCACTGATAAAATTATACTAATTTTTTGTGACGCTGGTTTGACTTTGTTTCTTAAATCGGAAGAATGAAATAGCTCAGAATAAATAAAAAATGGCCACTTTTCACCTTATGATAAACATACCAAGTGCTTTTGTTGTTTTCAGTAACATGTAACCTTACATGTTAAAGGGGCTGTATGTAAGAAATCTATTTAAAATAATCATAAAATGGCCCATATATGAAGAAATCATGTTCATTTCAAATACTTTTATTACTGACAACAGTAGTCTAGCCAGGATATTGTCATTTAAAAAGTGAAGTTGCAGCCCTCAACTGATGTTGATGTTGTCATGTGTTTTGGTCTGATGCTCCGCCCTCCACCGATCAACCAATCACGAAGTCAGTAATGTTGCGGCATCTGCTCTGCTCTAGTTACCACAGCTGCAAATGTGTCAGATACAAAAATGTTGGATTCTGCAGCCTATCTGGCAACCTCGAGTCAGGAGGGAGGGTAAGGGAATACACCGCTCTAAAGTAATTTGAAAGTGATTGCAGTACCAGTTTTGGCCACAATCATACATACGGCTCCTTTATTATGTCAAAAAATGTGTTTTGGGGTTTTATGACCCTTTAAAAACATGTTTAAATCTTTATTCGATTCTCTATCTGTTAGGACATTTACTGACCTTCCTAAACCGGCCACGCAGTGCACAGCCACGCAGCAACCGGGGTCATCTATGAAGCGTCGCTTCAGGAGACTCAGCCAGTCCTCCACAACCTTAGTGGGGGGAGGAGCGCCGTCATCAAATGGCCAGTCCTAAGGAGAGAAGAACAAGCCCTTTACATGAGCACATTATATGAAAAACAAGCTTTGACTTTGAAACAATCAAAAACAACAACAACAAAAAAACTTTAGTGAGAGTTTTAGTGCCACAGTTCACACCGACTTGCCAACAACATGAAATACAATCGATGTACTTTATTCTCTCAGGTGAATATATCCATTATGTTCGTGGTAACAAGAAGTTATTGCATTCAATCTGTCAAACTGTCATCAGACAAAAAAAAAAAAAATGCAGAACAGCAGAAGACCCCACCGGGTACCACCCATCTCCACTACAAATAGAAAACAGAGGCTACAATTTGCAAGAGCTCAGTTGAAGACTGGAAAAATGTTGCCTGGTCTGATGAGTCTCGATTTCAGGTGGTAGAGTCAGAATTTGGCGTAAACAGAATGAGAACATGGATCCATCATGCCTTTTACCACTGTGCAGGCTGGTGCTGGTGGTGTAATGGTGTGGGGGATGTTTTCTTGGCACACTTTAGGTGCCAATTGGGCATCGTTTAAATGCCACGGCCTACCTGAGCATTGTTTCGGACCATGTCCATTCCTTTATGGCCACCATGTACCCATCCTCTGATGGCTACTTCCAGCACCATGTCACAAAGCCTGAATCATTTCAAATTGGTTTCTTGAACATGACAATAGGTTCACTGTACTAAAATGGCCCCCACAGTCACCAGGTCTCAACCCAATAGAGCATCTTTGGGACGTCTTGTCCTGGATGTGCATCCCACAAATCTCCATGAACTGCAAGATGCTATCCTATCAATATGGGCCAACATTTCTAAAGAATGCTTTCAGCACCTTGTTGAGTCAATGCCACGTAGAATTAAGGCAGTTCTGAAGGCGAAAGGGGGCCAAACAAAGTATTAGTATGGTGTTCCTAATAATCCTTTAGGTGAGTGTGTGTGTGTGTGTATATATATATATATATTGCACATTAACTACAAAAAGCTTGGTGTTTAATCTATTTTTTTTTTTTTAAATTTACTTTTGCGTCTTTTTTAAAAAGCTTGAAGCTGGTCGCTATTCACTTCCATTATATGGATGAGCACAAACAGGATTTTTGTTAAAATGAACCTGTTGTGGTCCAAAAAAGAAAGAAGGGCAACGGCATTAGAACAAGACTAGGGTGAGTAAAATATGACTATTTTCATTTTATGGTGAACTATCCCTTTAAATCCACATTGTTCGAACAAAACAAAACAAAAACAAAAAAATCGAGAGCAATAGTTTTTTAACCCCACAAAATTGTGATGCTGTTTACAAATGTTAATTTGAACAATATTACAGGAAACACCAAATTGTTTGGAATGGAAATGGAATATGTGAACATGGTTGGCTAGAAATGCTTTTGGGAAACCAATTCCAGAACAAAAAATACAGACACTGAGATCACTTTAAACACATTTATGAAGCCAAGGAGTCTCCCATCAACTGAGATTGTTGGGTTTTTGGGACTTGTATAATATGGTTTGAGACTATCAGACAGTAAACCATTCAGCTTACTAATAAATATTAGTGATGCCACTAAAGTGATGTACTGTCATCTATCAATCCCTGCAACTGTTCAGGTGATTTGTACAAGCGGTGCATGCTTATGTGCCATTAAGACAAAGTGGGAGGCCCAAGAGGCATGTGAAACACGACAAATTTAGCATAAGTGTGCATCTTTCCTGTGCTCTTTTGACCTTGAGGTGAGAGGTTAATCACAATCATGCTTCACAGGAGATCAGGAAAATCCCACTCCTCCTCTTCCGTTTTCCCGCCTAAACCACCGCTGGGGGACTTTGATGTGGTTCAGTGGCTGAGGGACGTGGCTCACTTAGACTGGCATGTCTTCACAGGCGCAGATGCCCACACAAACACGTACTCGTGTGATCCAGAAAGGCTTGGCAGGGCAGGCCTTAATTATAAAAAGCTTTCTCACAGTACGGACACATAAGTCGGCATTCAGATGCCTCAAAATATCGCTTATCACAAGGGACCGACGAGTGATATGCAGTCACACAACAGCCCCAGGGACAGGCCGCTCAACACTAGCAGGTGCGAGTCTTTTCAAGTAAACAAGTCAGACCAGCAAGGCCTTTTACAGAAAAGCCTTTGAAGCATGAATGACGCGCGACAAACGCTTCCTCTACTTCCCTCCAGCCCATCCTATTGATTTCCTAGGCAAACACACCTTAGAAACCTTTCGGGAGCGGATGGAAGGCAACTGACGTAACGCAGGTTGGGTAAACAGTCGTGGCCTACTTTGGGAATCCAGAATTAGCTAGCGGGGTCACTTGCTCAAGCCTGCAGTCTCGCAGATCTCTTTACAGTTGTTCTGGGTGGCAAGGGTGAGGAATGGCACGTGTGTGCCTCCCAGGAGAACGCAGTTTACTCCCTCGTTGCAGGTGTTCACACAAATACACGCGGCGAACAACATAGTTGATTGTCCCCACTGGGATTTTGTGTTTCGCAAAGTTTCTCAGCAACTTGTGCGGCGGACATAAACAACAAACACATTTCTTAGACTGTGTATGACACCAACACAAGCCACACGAGGGCTTGGAGCCAGAAGGCCGTAAGTGGCTTTTAACAAACTTTACAGGAGAGACAAAACTAAATTCTTACATGAAATGAGTATCTAAGTAAAAAATTTATGGCATATTAACACAATAAACATGTTCTAAACCATTTTCAAAAAACAAAACAAAAAGTCAAATACGTCAGATACGCCTTTTTGTTGCTTTATTCAATACAGTTTGATCTCAGATAGGCATTTTTGGCACCATTGGATAGAGCTCATCGAGACCTTCATTTTGATATAAAGAACTCATATTCGCCCAAAATGCCACTTACGCCCCTCTGGCTCCAAGCCCTTGTAATGTAACAGTGTTTTGAACACGTCAAGTCTTTTTCACTGAAGGTGACCTCTCTTGAAGGACATAAAAAACGTCATATTTGTGTGAATTTTCAGGTTTGGCTAATGTTTGCGGAAAGAAAGAGGTGTATCCAGCAGCCAGCGTGTCCTTAATATTCACAGATGTCAGTAAAAACAAGACTTATACAACAGTTAGCCTTGGGCTCTCTTTTCTTTACAGTTTTGCTGTGAGAAAGTCAAGAAGAAAAAGTATAAAAGAAAGGTTGGGTGGTGGGGGAAGGTGGGCGGGGACCGATCGGAGGCCACACGGAGAGACCAGGCTCTGCCGCTACCATAGCAACAGTGAAACGTTGACGTCGGTAATAAGAAACACGTGTGGCTGCTTGGAAGAGAACATTCTCTGTAATGAATTTAGTCTGTGTGTGTGTTAGAAAGAGCGAACGAGTATACGAGGGTCAAGGGGGTCTGTGGCGAGCTGTTTCACTTTTCACTTCTAACGCAGAACACTTTCAATAACTGCCTACGTGCACTAGAAGCTCTTATCGTTTTTACCATCTGGCCCTTTAAATGTGAAATAAACGATTTAGACTGTATATGCGAATATTTGGATAATCCATTTACTAATAGCAGTCCTAGTTTCAAGTCACTCATATCACTATTTTCATATGATATGATTATATTTCAAATCAAACCAATGGTTTTGTTGTCCAATATTTGATGTCGATTTATGAACTGGTAAGTAGTGATGAAGTGAATTTATAATTACTCTTTTATATATTGTTTTCCATTTAAAATAAAAACCATTGAAACAAAACAAATTTACTTGAGAAGCAACACTGCATACGATTTAAAGACTTCATATTTTGCGTAATCTTTTTTTTTGTATATCGTTTTATTTTTCTTGTTTTAACTTAAAACATTTGCCAGTGCAATAAAACAAAATACTTGTATTTAAGATTCTTTAACAAGAATGTCAATAAGTCTTTCTCTTCTCAGGTAAACGTATCTTGTTGAAAGGATTTTTAGATATTATAACAGGACAATTAAGACAAAAATACTTAACCCTCAATCGGGTCATGGGGTCTATACGACCCCAATCGACTTTTACTTAATAATAAAAAAAAAGGTTTCCTTCATCTCAGTGGAATAAGATTTTGTGACTTTTCATACATTATCTATCTATACACACAAAAACTGGGCTTGATTAGGTTGTTCTGAAGGTATGTAAAAAAAATGTTTACACTTCTGGTCTTCGGGGTTGAATATGACCCCACCTTGAAATGAATGGGAAATGTGAAAAAAATAAAAAATGAAGGTCTAGTACTAGAGCATAAATGCAATGTATTATAAAAAAATAATATTTCATATGCAAGTAGTATATGGATACAAAAGTACTTTATATCTCCAAAAACACAGCATTAATGAATAGATGAGAAGTAAACAAAAAAAATGATATATTATATGTATGATTAAAAATGTATATTTTTTGTACAATTACTCAATCAATTGTTGGGGTCGTATAGACCCAGAAGTGTAAACAGGAAACGAAGACCATTTGAAGGTTAAGGAAACTTTTAAATGTGCATTCAGTGAGATATCCTCTAGTCAGACAGTAAACATCGCAAAATAAATCCCTTCGGGATGACACAAGACCCTTAATGTCAGGGTTCTGAACACCCTGTCGTGTTTTTTTTTTTTTGTAATGTCCAGCTGATAGTACATTATGGCACTTACCACGACTGTTATGCCATCCTTCTCCAGTGGTGATTTGTCGTAGGTTATCTCACAGACTCTGACCACCGTTGTGGCACCATACTTCTTAAGATCCTAAAGTGTGATGGGAATAGAAATACAGATGATAAAAAAATCTAAAAAAAATAGTCCTGACAACATTAAAATACAAACAATCATTTTAATGGCGTGAGAGGTAACGTAAGCTGTTCATGAACACGCTCTGTTCCTCATCCCTGCCATGTGATGGAGCACTGGGATGGGTTTCCATGGAAACGGAGGCTTTGTGGATGTGCCGTTATCATTAGAGCCTCAATGGTTCATGCACACTTTCCCAGCAAGATAAGAATGAGTGGGCCATGTGACGGTGGAGTTGTCTTAAGATAGACAGAGCCGAAACGGGACGTGTTGCTAAAATGAGTGCGCGTTCAAGCGAGGGATGAAAGTAGAAGCGGAGGGTGGGAGGAAACAGACGACAAATACATGCAGAGTAAAACGGTGAACAAATGCTCACCTCTATGAAGCTGCTCAGAGTGGAGTTTGTCGGGTTGTGAGTGATTAAGAACCTCATGTTCTTGTAGCACACCTCCACTGGGGCCGGCCGGTTCATCCGAGCCATTGTGCTTCCTCCAACTCCGAACCGTTCACAAGCAAAGGACGCTTTGTTCAGCCGCTGATCTTTCTTTGTGAATAAAACACTGCAAAACTCTTCGATGTTCAAAGTTCCCAGTCTCTTGAATTGCCTCTCTAATGGCTTGCCGTAGCCAGAGAGGTAAGATCACCCCATTAGATTTGAGAGGAGTTTTGGGTTGCAGGACCACAAGTAGTAGAGGGAAGAGCGTCTCAGAGCATCCAGGAATCAGTGAACAGAGCGCAACACATTCTCCCAGGGTTTAGACGTGTCGATGCTGAGCGTGGCAGTAGTCTCCAGTCCTCTGCAAGAACGCCATGGACAAAGCCACTACTGAAGGACAGAGCTGTTGGGAAGAGAATCAGAAAAAGACTAAGAGATAAGTGAGTTTTCTTCTGTCACAACCTAACCAGGGCAGTCCGTTGAAGACAAACATGACGCACACATGACAGCGCAGCTCACGTTAACTATGAGTGTGTGACCGGAGATTACATACAGTGTCCCCGAACCCACCCACGCACAGTCCCACTCACACACAAGCACTCAAAACATTGCGCAACACAGAGGCTGATAGGGACTTGAGGTTTTACAGAAAGCAGATAATAAGAGTAAATACTTTTCCCAGGCTTTTTCCTTTTTTTGGTACAAAACTTTTTTTTGTTTACATTATTCCTTTTTTTTTTAAAGTGCTGAACTTTTATTTGTTTAATACATTTAATGAATGCACTGCCTCTTTATCTTAGTAGGCAACATTTTGGTACAAGCAATCACTCTAATTAGCATTCAAACTAAAAGATTTTCACTGAAGAACAAATTTAAGGAATCACTATAGGAATCTTAATGCAGCATTTCAAATCAAAAAGTCTGTTACTTACCTCTCTTAATAATATTTTTAGCGTTATTGATTACAATTCAAACTGGTCATACATTACGCGTACGCGTGCCTACATTTGAAATCGAACTTGAGCATGCTGTAAACGTGAGCAGCCCTTTTAACGGCTTTATCATGCTGACTCAGATTGTGTTTTCTAAATATGTTTTCATTTTTATTTGTACACTTGACGCATTTGAAAATAGCCTAAATAATGTAACAAAACGAAAATAAACCTATATGCCTTCTTACAACACAGCCTATTTCAGATTGATTTTAAGGCTATTTAGTTTTTTTGTGTGTTGTTTTAAAACGCCTAGATGGCTAGATCGGCTGGACAAAAGTTAACCCATAGCTTTGTAAGTAAAGAAGAATACAGCCTGTATAAACGAGAGCTTTTTTGTTAAGATTTTTCATTATGTGGCAGATAGCAGTTATATTTTTTTGTAGCGTTTGGTGTAAGCAGGTTGTGACTGTCACCATAGACCTAGGACAGAGCTCCTCACTTTTTTCAGTAAAAAAAAAAAAATCACTTAATTTTCAAAGAATTTCATTATTATTATAGTTTTTTTATTTTTTTTTATGTTTTTTCGTTGTTGAACCGTTTTTTGTTTTTTTTAGTCGACTAATCGTTGCGCAGGACAAGACCTTGGTCGACTAAGGATTTCTTTGGTTGACTACAGCCCTAGAAATCAATGACTGTTCAGACTAAAGCTATAGTATCCAGCTGCAGACCCGCAGCACACCAGTTTCAGAACCCCAGCGCCAGAACCGGAAGTGAGGGGCGGAGTTACGTTCTAACCAACACCAGCGTCAGGGCCGTAAGTGAGGGGCGGAGCTTAGGTTTGAAACCTAATAACGTATTTTACACATGAAACAGCTTTTATTGAACATGAACTATACGTATGTTATGATGCTACATTACAGTACAATAAGCATTTTAAAACATTGATTTTGTGTAATATAATTGTATATAGTTTCAGTTATCCGTTTCATTGTATTATGAGTTACTTCCTGATCAAGAAAAAAATAATACTTGAAACTTATGGGCATTTTAATGTATAACAGTTTAATAATTTTAGCTAAGCAGTTTATACATAGGTGTAGATTTACGAATGTAAGACCTTTGTTTTTTGTTTTTTATGAAGGAGTTAACTTTGTATAATAAAGCTTTGAAAGATATAAAATCAAGACAAGCATTGGAGGTTTTCAAAATTATACACAATTCGATAACTTATTAGTGATATTTATTGTGTTTACAAAAATCTTTAATTGTTTTGAAATTGAAGATATGTATTTGTAAGATGATTTTGATTGTTAAAAATTAAATAAAAAAATGCATGGGTATTTTTTCTAAAATATACTTTATTCCACAGAACATGTGCAGCATGCATTTTTTTCATGTAAAATAATAATGTCAAAATCTAAAAAAGAGAGAGAAATTTCGGCATTGTTTTAAACGAAACAATAAAAATATACAAAATGACCAATTCAACCCTAGGCCTGTTTTACCACAACAATCTTGTATACATTTAACTTACAATGTATCAAATGAGGAACTCACTCTCAAGCCAATTTTGTCCTCACATTCTTGCTAAAATAACTAATAGTAACTCCGCCCCACCCTCACTTCCGGTTCTGAAACTGGTGGTGCGCGGGTCTGCAGCTGGATATATCTCCACTAAAGCGGAAAAACTGTTTCTAACACCTAATTGTCACTGAGAAGAAAACAATTCAAACTAAATTTACATTATTTCTATAAGGCATTTCACACCGAATCATCTAAGACTATATATATTACAAAAAATATAAAAACTATCTTTATTTTTAAACAGTTGTTTACACTAACACAGTTTTACATTTTAGCCTGGACTAACGCATACCAGCCTAGAAAAGATATCTAGATTACGGTTGAAATATTCTGATTCTTAGTACATAAAGCTGTGTTGTCCTGCACTTTAATCTACTTAAAACATTGATCGCTTCACTTTACTGTAGGTTATTGAAAAAAAGTGATTATTAAACTAACAAAAAGGCTTTCTGAGCTGAATATAAATGTACATCTGTGTGAAGCAATGAGCTGTTGAGACAAAGATCAGCATGTAAACAGAGAGAAGAATACTCCTGACTCAAAGTCCACCGGGGGTCCAACCCTGAGGTACTGTACTCGTTTACTCCATGCAGAGTAAGGTTAATTGGGTGGTTCTGAGCTATGTCAACAGCACTTAGGGGTCACACCCATCAACCGATACACACAGAGAGAATTGTGAAGATCAATAATAATAATTTGTTACATTTATTTTGCGCTTTTCTGGATACTCCAAGCACTTTCCATGGCTTAAATTTACATAAACAATTTCTGTCGAGGTAACAGCACCAGCGGCATGTACTAGTAAACCCGCAGAAGTACCATTCACTTCAGCTCTGAGGGTAACCATGACAGTGTTGTGCTTGTCTTCACAGACCAATTACCAGCCCTTGTCCCTTAAGAGTGCAATACTGGTTAAATATTTGTGCTGACAATTTAAAGTGCTGCTGTGGGCGTCTGGGACCTGTAATGGCACTAACAAAGAATCTATGGGAAAACAGGATGGGGAATAAAGGAGAAAGAAACCACACTTATGTTTGACAGCAAAATAGAAAATTGTCGAGGATGAAAGGCCCTTAAAAGTGGCAACATTGGTTGGAAATAAATTGGTTGGTTGACCCATAAGATAAAAACACACAATAACTACAGTACTGAGGTATTCATTTCTCCACACAAACTTCTGTCATGATTCTTCATATGTTACCAAAACTGGCCCCTCAGAAGCTTCTCGGACTTGTATAGTGATTTGAAATATGCACGGGCTAATTTCAAGCTACAGGCAAAACAATAAAAAAAAAACTAAATTGTATGATTTTGAGGTTCACAAGCCCTCATCTAATGATCCCAATGCTCCAAATAGTGATTAAGCATCTAAAAGCATCTTTATTTGTCCTTTTTCTGAGAGGTGAACCTTTCCTTTGTCCATGAAAAATGCTGTTTTTTCTCTGCTCGCTTCTCACACTTCTGCTCAGCAAGTTTGATATCATTGTAAAGTGCAGTATTCCAACTTAAATATTAATAGCAAATTCTCGATGGCATGAGTCTGAACCAATGAAATGTAATTTTCAAACTCATGCTGCTGTATGTAAACAAAATGATCTTACTCGCGCCGAATGAAAGAGCGGTTTCGAAGCGTGCGCACAAAGACACCTCAGCGCACAATCCCAATATACACATACTGTATACATAGAATTCGTTTTTCTAAATATCCGTCAGACAAATGTGTTATCATGGGGAAAAAAAATAATTTATATTTTTCCTATATTTGGTTTTGACTTTGTGTGTGCCAAATTTGGTGTTATTTTAAAGGTGACCAAGAATGTGTTGAAATAGTATTTTAATTTTGTCTCTGATATCTACATAGAGAATAAATGGCTTATTTAAGCTGTTCGATCTGTTGTAAAATAAATTGACAGTGCATTAATTTTAATAGACGAACAGAAGGCCGTTAAAATCAATTGCCTATTTTCATTTTCGATACTTCGTTGGTTGGTCCGATCGATTGTGCAATCGATTTTGAATGTAAAGTGACAACCCTGACTACTATAGATTTTGGTATCGTATCGTGACATGCCTAGTATAGTGTATAGAGCCAGACCGATATATCGGCAGGCCGATATTAGGTATTTTCTAAAATATCGGTAGTTATAATGGCCAAGTAGGGTCTAATTATTATTTTATTTATCAGAACTTTAATATATTTTGATGTTCCAAAATATCCATATTTTGAATATTTCCTATTCTGTTGTGACAATAGAAACAAGTTTCTTTTTAAAATGCATTATCATATTATTTTAGTTAAAACTCATAAATAACTACAAATAACTAATGTTAGGGAAATCCATCAATTTTTTGTTGTGCGTTTCTGAAATAATAATAATAATAATATCGGCCGATATATCGGAATATCGGATTTTAAAACCAAGTATTTGTATCGGTATCGGCCTTCAAAATCCTTTATCGGTCTGGCTCTAAGAGTGTATAGTGTATAGTAGGGTATTGGATATGGGTAACTCATGAAAGAAGATGTAACCTGGTCTATTGGATATCATATAGTCAACAAATCGTAATTAACCATCAAGACCTCCAATGTAAATGTGGCCAAAGAACCAAAGCCTAGGGTCTGAATCTATTACACATGCAAGGCAGGCTAATAGTATCTCACAAACAACTCTGAGTGATGATCAGAGTGACTGGCCCATGTGCTGCATGTCACCTGAATGTTATAAATAGGCCCGGCAACTGCTTTCTGATGCATTTAGCCCTGACTGGACTGGGCCATTGGATTTGAGATAACAGCAGTAGGGGGTTCGTGTCCAACTTAGTCTAGCTTAGTGAACTTTACTTGAGAGAACAACCTTCTATCCTGAGTGATGGAAAATCTGTA